GCGCGAATACGTGGAGCGGACAACCGATGATGCATAGATGCTGTTGACACGGGCGGAACGTCAGACTCACGCGCGATCTCTCTCTCTCTCTCTCTCTCTCTCTCTCGCTGCCTCCATTATGCTCCGACTGGCTGGCAGGAGAGGTACATCCTACATTGGGACAATAACCGTCGGCGTCGGCGTTATAATTATTGGCCGGTCTTGAACGCTAAACAATCGGGACTAAGAGCCTCTCTCTCTCTCTCTCTGGCCGCGCGCGTATGCGTGGCTGCGCGTTGTGTATATACGCGCACCAGCGACGCGAGGAGTGAGCGGGAGAGGACGGCATGCATATATAATTGATCGAAGATGCAGGCAGCGAGGATAGGTCGCCTACTGTCCGTGCCACCGGTCTCCCCTTATATATACACTCTGCGGCCGAATTGCTGCGGACAGCTGATGCTCAGCTATGCCTTGATTATTATTATCGACTGGACAGCGCGGCCGGCTCCAACGTCTCGGGCCCTTACAGCCAGGTCTTCCGCCGTGTCTCGATCGAGCGACCTTAATATTCGCAGCGTCAACGTTAACGTGACGCTTACGCGACGCCGAATTGGCATTTCTTCCGTCTCGCGCATATCGATAGTAACGGATCTATCGAAAACGCCGGCTTACTGCGAGAGATTTCAGCGAAACAATTTACCGGGCCATAATGCAATCAATGCCGGCGTGAAATAAATTAGCGCGATGGAATAAACGCTGAGTAACTCTCGTCAAGCAGTATATACGCGACTACGATAAAGTTATTCACAAGCGCGCAGGCTGTGCAGTACTGCGCGTGGCCTGGAAGGTGGAAAGCGATCACAAGATAGGCTATCTCTCGCTGCACAATGCTATACGCTTTCCGAGCTTGGCTGTTATTAATTTAGCCAATTGTCGTTCGTTGATTACGCGCGATATTTTCGCAACGGATCTACGGATCCCCTCGGCTCCCTTGCAGAGCTTTCAATTTGGCCTTTCCACGGCATACGTTAGATCATCCACGACTGCTGCTTCTCCATTTGTCTCTGTGAAAGCCTTCGTTATATATACGCGTAAATGTACATCCTTTTGTAAATGTGTGCTGCGTGCGTACCAGTCCAGAGTGGACTTTAACTGTATGAATACGTTGAGGATCTCTCTTCGACGTTAATATTAATGTTCGCCAGACCATATTCAAATTTGTTTTTGTCTCGTTCGGGTTTCGCCTACTTGGCCGCTGCCGCCTCGCTAAATGCTGTTTGACTTTCGACTGTAATTATTAACGCTACGTTTAACTGGCTTGTTGTTCGATACTCGTCAATAAAACATGATGCGCGCACGCGAGAGAAAGCGAGGAGGGGGGGGGGGGGGAGTTCTTTGTGCCTGCCGAGAATAAAGCCCAGCGCAAAATTTTTTTGATGCAAACAATTAGTTTGATGAGAATTGCAGCCCTGGTAAAAGCTTTACGCTCAATCAAACAAAGCTTGCCAATAACACTTGTTTACTTCCTCAACTAGTTTATCACGGGCATTATTCACAAAAATAAAAGCACCTGCAAAAAAGTGACGAAAAGCAAATCTCATAAAGCACTCGAGAGCGAGCCGAGCGCGTATATATCACTCCGACAAGGGTTGGATATGCGTTCGTACGCGTTTGCGTGTGTGTGAATACGTGCTGCAAAACGCTCTAGCGCATGGACAGAGATCGCGCATTTTTGCAGCGTATATAGCCTCTCAACTAGTGCGAAAAACGAGCTTTTTGCGCCGCGAGTGTGCGCAACCCGCAAAAAAAAACAGGGAGAAATTGTTTTGCAAGTAGAGCTTGCGCGCGATAGCGCAACGATGTGATGGTTCGGAAAAAAAAAATTTTAATATTTACAATGTCGGTGGAGCGCTTTATTAGACAGCGATAACTAGATCCCATTTCTTGCTACCGGCTCTTTTTTTTTCAAACGTGCGTGGCAAACGAAAATCCTGTATTTTTGATTATTCAATTGAAGTCGTCGAGGCACCACGACCTATACGCGTATAAACGACGGACGCGCGTTTTATTTCCGAACGATCGTTGCATGTACATTCACTTTCATCAAACGCAAACATCGCATTTTTCTCGGAAGGGCTCAAATATTTCATCGCTTCGTACTCGCGCAACGAAAATATTTGTCGATTTATACGCACGTTGCATTTATGCAAGGCGCGCGGCTTGCAGGTGAATTCACAAGTGGCCAGGCTCCTCAACTTGTAAATCGTCGAAGCATTGGTAATACAGACATCGTCTTGCGAGCATCGCTCTCAGTCAGTAGGACATGGTCCAGTGGATCTCCACATCATACACGCCTGCACACACACGTGCGCGCGCGCGCGCGCGCGTGCATACATCTACGGCTGCGACGAGTGTAGGAGGCATAACTGCAAGCTTGCGTGTCGCCGGGGCTGCTTCATCGCCGGGCAACGCTCTAATTTGCAGACTTTGACGATGACAGCCGACGTATATATCTCACCCCACGACTGCGTCTCTCTCTCTCTCTCTCGCCCCTTGCACTTTGTCATCGTCGTATACGTGCGCGGCTGATCGGACGGCGACGACGACGACGACGACAACGACGACGACGACGACGACGACGCGACGCTCACGAGTAATGACGCTCCTAGGCTGTTAAATTAACTTGTCGTTACCGCCTAGCACTCGGTTTTATGTGAGATCTTTCGAAAGTTTAATGATGTTCGAAATTTCAGTCGACCTCCCAAACTTTTGCTTTTGTTAATTTGTACGGACGTCGAATGCTGTGTACGCAGAAAAAAGGCCTCTTATGCCAAATGTATTAAATTTTTAGTGAAATCGTTTTGCTAAAAAATTATCTCTTTTGGAACAGAAGAATTCCTGTTGTTATGAGAGAATCCTTATATTACGAAAGAAATAATTTTGCAACTATAATGACAAATACCTCAAAATTTATGTGTTTAAATTTAAACGTTTTAAGTCTGCAAATGTAACGTCATCCATAAGAAATACATTGTCACTGAATTTCAACGTTTAGAAGTGTTTAAAATTGGTGACAATCTATTTCCTATGGGGCACGTCCTATTAAACGTTTAAATTTAAACATATGGGTTGACCGTGTATTAGACGTCAAAAATCCTCTTGTACCAAGAGAATTTCTTTTGTTAAGTAACGATTTTTTCAGTTTGTAAAATTAACGAATATGGTAAAACTCAGCTCTCTCTCTCTTTCCGTTTCAGAGTTTTCTTAACACGATGCGATCAGTCAGAATGAAATCAATTTTGATTAAACTAGGCCAATGTTTATAAGTCAAGAAAGGAAATATCTATTCGTTACGTGCTCGCGATTGCTTTTAATTAAATTCAGAAATAATTATTGACTCGACCTGTCATTTGTTTGCATGCGACTTGATTGACAAAAAGTCGATCAAGTCGTATGCAAACAATAGACGATAGACGATAGACGCTAGACCATCCGAGCGGCTGATCCCTTTATAATCTTTAAATTCAATGAACAATTGTCGTTGGTTTTTTGAAAATTTAAACAATTATATTGTCGATGTAGTTGAAATGCTGGTAAAAAATTGTTTTCATCGTGCATTGTTGGAATACTTTGCTGAAAGAGTAAAAAATCTGCGAGATCTTTGAAAAAGTATCGAAATTGAAGTGATCGGAAGTCGTAAGATGTCGTACACCTCGGAGAAACATTTTCGCGATATTTCAAAGTGGACAGCCCATAGGTCGGATGGCCGGAGGGCAAGGCGTCATAAAACCAGGCTCCGAAAACCCAGCGGCGAGCGGGGCAAACACAAATTTAATGGCGCGGCAGCCAAAACCGGGCGGCCAAGCGCATCGGCCGGGCCGAAAATTCGTTTTATCGCGCGCGCGGCGAGAGACGATAATTGCCGGCGACGGCATAGCCCGCGGGTATTAATTATTATTCGCTTTCTCTCTGGCTCGCAGCGCGTTCGAATTCCGCAGCGCCCGCTGAAAGGCGTCTTCGAGGCCGTTAGTGACAATAATGCCCATTGTCTTGGGCGACGGCTCGCATAATGGCGAATGAATGCGCCAAAGCGAACTGTCTGCGATCTCTCGCGCACCGCTTGTATTGTTTGTGCGAGGATATGCGCCCACTTATAATCGTGAGAGGCGAGGCCCGCGCGGGCTTGAATGCATGCACTTTGAGCTCCTCGTCGTCGGGGGCATCTTCGCCGAGAGCAAGAGCGAGTTAAGACGCCGCCGTCGCCGCCATCAGCGCTACAGCGCGTGAAGAGGGTTCGGAAGTCGAGCCGAGACGAGCACGGGATTAATTCGCCCGTTTGAGCCGCTTCCCTTGTTACTTCGTCACCCTCACTTATGCCCACGCTCCGATGCTGCTACTTCCTTCTTCTGCTCCCCTTGCCTTATTATTGTTATTAGACTTTTGACTTTCTAATTTTAACCGACTTAGCATTACGCCGGGATTCCAGATCAAAAATCTGCTGATAGATTTTTTCTTCTTCTCTTTCTTTTTTTTCTGTTTGCGTTGTGTTTGACAATGATAAACTTATCACTAGTTTTGTAGCGCGCTGGAATGTCTAATAAAAAAACTGACGCAGTCCATCAAACGTAAAATCTACTTTACGAGGGCATGTACGTGTAACATACGTTTATTGAATGCGAAATAATACTTTCCAAGAAAGCATCGAGCAGTAAAAAGTTATCGGGTATAACTCCGTATTTTTCTTACAACTCAGTGTTATGCGTCTCAAAACTTTACAGTCGATTGTAAAAATTTTTCGCATGGTTCGTAAAAGAAAAAAGTTACGGCTAAAGGAAAGAAGAATTTCGTTATCGCTATGGGATCATCCGTTTAGTACTAAATACGCTTTATGAACTCGAAATAAGTATAAGCAATTATTTGTCGATTGTAACTTATCGTACTGCATTGACTTATCAGCTGAAATTCTATATACGATTGAGAGGTCTAAAATTTATTAAGAATCGAACATTTCAGCAATTTTATTTATTTTTTTGTCTCTTCAAAATTGATATACTTATAAACGGGAGTATTTTCAATAAGGTACAAAAATTAGTTTTTTTTTTACACAATAGTAATCATTATCAACAGGTAATAATAAAGTCGGGAATCATCTAAAAAACATTCACTCAAAAACACAAACACGTTTCACTAAAAATTTACACTCTATAAATAAAGTAATAAATAATTACAAAAATCATAAATAAATCAACATATCAAACAACTAATACATAAACAAATATTTGTGCGAACGTTTCGACGTCAACGCCGAAATTCAATACTTGGTATAACATTTTGTTCGCCGTTTACGATATTCAAGCGTTAATCGCACGCATAGTGCGACAAAGATAGAGACCACGATAATAGTGAAAAATCATTTTTCATGGTCATTAATAACTCATTAAGCGCTTTTCATCTTTTTCACTCGATTTATTGAATCTCGTGCAGCAAGCACACGCGCACCGATGGCAATACAAGCTGCAGGTAATTAGTCAGCAATTTGTCTCTGAATTTGCACTCATTTTTTCAACGCTCCCTTCGCTGCGAATCTCGTCACTTTTTTTACCTCAATAATATAATGCGGTAATTATCGAAATGAAGCCTTAATAAAATATACTTATTACAAGAAGGTTCATTTTGATAGAGTTAAAATATTTTTACTTTGAACACGTTAGAAATCGTAGAGCGCGATTGAACTTGCAATCATTTAATACAGACTACACTGATTGATACGTTCTAGACACGGTAGATGTTTTAAAACTAGATAAAATTTTTATGTACTTAATACTTCGAAAAATCTTTTAAGCAGCGCCACAATACAGAAAGACCTGCAGTCTAAGTAGGAATACATTTTTCTTATATGTGATTAAAAAAATATAATTGTAAGTTAATGTGAAAATAGTCTGCGTAGTTTATATAATTTATGTATCAAATGACTCTCTAAGGCAAATGTGCAGATCAAGTTTTATATTGCTATTTCTTATAGATGAGAACAATCATAATAAACAAGTAATATTACGAAAGTAGATCTATAAAACTGTACTGAATTTCTTTAGCTTTGCTGCTTATTATGGCATATTTTAAAGCTAATTTACAGCACTATGTACAGTACAATTTATAGATTGCTAAATTGCTATACAGTGGTTACCTTTATAATTTATAATTAGTCAGCAAATGACTCTAAGGCAAATGTGCAGGTCTATTTTTATGCTACTATTTCTTATAGATGGAAACAATTATAATAAACAAACAATATTACGAAACACAAGACAAATATCACTATCATACAATGTTGAAAACACAATGTATTAGAAAATGTTCCACTGGTATGATTTTCCGTTTTCTCAATGGCATTAATGTGTAATGTTCCAAAAAATATTTTGTTTAAAGATAAAAATGTCGTTCAAAAATAATTTACTTAACCCCTATGTTAAATTGATAACGTAATCATCTATTTTGTTGTTACGATCTAAATCTAGCTTTAATTTTTTACTCTTTCCTATATCACTGGATGGCCTTTTGAGTTTGTTTGGTGAACTTTTAGGTGCAGAAAAGGTTTCAACTTTTGAATGACCTCCAAATCCATCAAATGCTCTTGTTAGATCTAATTCTAGTGTATTCTGCATAAAAATGTGATTCTATTAATTGACAGCCATACATTGTTTCAAGAAACTAAGACTTAATACATTCAATAATAATGACCTTGATTTTCGAAGAAGAAACATTTTTCAAATTTATTGAATTTCCAGTAGATTGAATCCAATTTGATGAACGATTGCCACTCAAAGTTCGGCTTTTCATACTCAAAATACCTTTCGATTTCGTTGGAAGGTATGGAGAATCTTGTGAATTTTCTGTGGTTTTATAACTAGTCGGCTAAAAAATTAAACAAGCAGTGAAATTTTTATGATCTAATGTAAGTCAAACGAAATAAAATTACCTCGATAAATACAATGTCAGAATCATCTTTATTTGGTGATGAAGATAATTTAAAAACTTGAGATTTTTTAATTTTTTTAGGAATTAAGTCACTGTTCTCTTCGGCGTCGATATCACGTTTACGAGATGTAGTATTTTCTGAAACTGAATTGAATTCTCCAATACATTCTTCATTAGAGGAAGATGGATTATTAGCTCTTTGCTTTAATTCAAGTATCTCTGATTGAAGAGCTTCTCTTTCACTTTTACAAATAATAAGTTCTTCTTCCAGATCCTCACTGAAATACATATATTGGATGATTCTTTATCATAGCTTGAATATTGAAATAACATGTACTTACATTTTTTTTATATAATCGTGAGCAAAACTATCTCTTTTTATTTTCAGTGCTTGCACTTCAGACTGTAAATTTCTTATTATTGCTCGAAGTTCTTTTCGTTTTTCCATATTCACATTTAATTCTCTAGATAAAAAATATTTAGAAATGAAAAATTTGGTTGAAAGGATTGTAAAAAACAAAAGAATATTATTTGATGGATAAGCTTGTAAAATTATTTTTATTACAATAATTGTTTACAAACCTTTTCAAAACAGCAGCATATGTAGTTAGTGTTGTGATATCTTTGTTTGCACCTAACATTTTGTCTACTTCTTCTCCACTTGAAGTAATTAATAATTGAACACTAATAGAAAGGTTTTTGTGTTACAATGTACTGCTTTGAGTTTTGATTTAAAGAATAAAAAATTATATAACATACTTATCATATGTTTCCAAAGTTTTACAGAGCCTATTATTCTGTTCTTTCAATTGATCGTAATCCATAGATTTATTTTTGAAATATTCAGTTTGTTCTTTAAGTGCATAAATAGCAGAGTTTTTTCTGTGAACTTCGCTTTCAGCTCTTCTAACTTCATCTCTAAGGCCTGTATTTTGTCTTTTCAAATTAGCAAGTTCCTCATTGTTTTTCTTAATTTCAGCTTCATATAGCTTTCCTTGGAACGAGAGATTGTCAACCTTCTGCTGAAGGCTATATGAATCTTCTTTCACAGCTTCAACATTGGCAAAATTGAAATAAATCTTGGTAATTTTATCTCTTCTAACTTTCAGTCGACATTGTGGGCAAGTTAGAGAACTAAAATACACAAGTTCAGAATTCACTAAAATATTTTCTATTAAAGTTCAAGCTATTTTTGAATAAGAATTTTTGAACACTGTGTTTATTTACATGTGCAGCCTTTTACGATAGCATTAATTAAATTAAAAAAAATATTAGGAAACCTTCAAAATGTAATTATCTTTGTCTAGCAGAAAGGGCGCTTTTCTTTTCTTTGTAAATGCGTGTTGCAAAAATGCGAGAAAATCTGTAAACTTACTTATCCAGCCACGCGTTGAGACATGGAAAATGAAATACATGACCACAAGGAATGATATTGATATCCTCCGCAGGTGTCAAAGATTCTTGACAAATCGCACATTGAATATTCATTTTAGAATGAATTTAAAGGACTATCCAGGCAATCTTTGTCAAGGGTGACAAGATTGGTAAACGCGAGCTTTGAAATAATTTCACTTTGGAACATTCATTTTGCTTTCGATACTTTATAGGGAGTGCTTAAATTGTTAATGCTTATCGGAGAATTGGCAGACAATGAAATTCTAAATAAACAAACAGTTACATCACACTTCACAACGACGCATAAATAAGCAACAAACTGCGACGACGCCAACGGCAATTGCGTAGCTTGATGCGTACGCATGTCTCATAGACGCTTGTCGACAGCGCCATCTAGTCATTGTGGCGCCAATTCAAACGCTCAATGTTTGAAAGCGTTAATTCTTTCAAAACTCTTGTATATTTATTATAGTATATCAAAATTTAGTTTATTTTCATAAAAATTTAATTAATTTTTCAGTTGATACGAGTACGAAATATAAATTACCAAAGGGGGATAAAATAATTTTAAAAACAAGCTAAGATCAATTTTGAGATCCTTTTATTATTTCTTTTCTTATATAAAAATCTTATATAAAAAAGAGAAGTTGACTAATTGAAGCCAGTTTATTCGTGATCTGATTGATTGAAAGATAGTCACGTGATCATTGTTATGAGATAGTGTATTGTGTTGTGTACGCCCACGAAAAATGACTGCACATTTTCATAGATAATTAAACTTTCGAGAAGTGTATCAATATAGTTGGAATGAAAAATTAATATAAATTGATTGGCTTATTCAAACTAATCTCAAAATAAAAGCCGATTGATAACTCAATAGAGGAATGAATTGAATTTCGTTCTATGCGAAAGTTTAACTACGAATAAACAAAGTAAGCAATAAAAGATATAAATTGACGAGTGATTTCGGTTTTGTTCAGCTACTAAAATATCGGAAATTGTTTTATAATTCTTTAATTGCAACCATAAACATCTATATACCCAAGTATTTATATTGTTTTTAACCGATGTCATTTATATCGCGAAAGATATGATTATAGAAAACTGTAATGCTTTTAGAATTCGTATTAAATTTTTTATCGTGTCTAAAACTTTTTAATGTTTTTCCAATACAGAATTTTGGAGGATTAGAACTTAAAACTTCACTGCTAACAGTTTTAAATCATAATCGAGTATCATTGAGTCGGCTATATCTCATATTGAATCACGGGAACATTTAATGCATATTGAATTTTGGAATTTCACCAAAAAAATTTTGGATCTGTATTTGTGCATTAAAATGAATGCGAAAAAAGGCAGAAAAAATAAGCGCGCGTGGTGCGCTATAGACATCACTAGTAACATTAAAAATGTATATTTAAAATTCACATTGAATAATACTTTACAAAATTTTTAAGATACATGGAAAACACACTTCATATATAATAATTATATTCTATAAAATAAATTAAATAGCGTTGCATTTAATGTATAGAAAATGTGGCACACTGGTTAATACAATATCAACGTTTTTTATTAATCTATTTACAAAATTATACAATTATTCACTACATACAAGATGGTGTACTATTAATGCAACAGGTGACAAAACTTCAATTTGAGCCACAAAAATTAAAGCGTAGATTGGTGAATTTTATACTCTATGGATAGACGAAAAAAGGCTCAACATTGAATTTTTCAGAGTTTTCCGATGACAAAAATAAAATGCACTTAACGAAAAGACATCTCAACCTTTACTTTACTTTCGTTAATAGCTTTTAAAGCTATTAACGAATTTAGAAAAGGCTTTTTAATAAATGTTACGTAAAAATGGAAGAATTTACTTTTAAGTTACAAAATTACAAGCTTGAAGTAGGCAGTGTATGTAATTGTCTGTTTAGATTCTACTGTGGTAAAAAACTTATTTTCTTCAATCAGTGAAAAATGTTTCTACAGTTTTAAATATACACTACATCTCTTAGTAATGGAAACAAGAGTTGTCTATTCGAAAAATTGTTTCGTTTGTCTCCCGCAAAATTTTCTCGCACATCACAGCATTCGCTTTTACAAAGAGTATCCAATCAATGCTCACTCGAATAATACACGTATAATCGATTAAGAAAAAAAATTATCACTTGCAAATCCAATTTCGCTCGGAAAAAAATTGCTGTTCATGAAATAACAATCTTTTTTCGTGACACTGATCTGTGATGAAAGGTGGCAAAATTAGGCACGTTTCGATCTTGAAAATCACACAAAGTATACTAAGCAAACGTCACCGTCTGCCATCGAACCAACGATCAAGACTTTTTGACAGTGTCGTCTTCATCTTCATCGTCGTCTCCCGTAAAAAACTTGGCCCTAACTCGATCGCCGCTATTAGAGGTGCCAAGTTCGACGTCAACTGTGAGCTCGGGCGAACTCTTGGACACGTTCAGGGTACTCGATTGGAAAGCTTCGTTTCGTTGACCAGCACGTTGGACAGTCGGCTGTCGCTGTCGTCCGCTGAAAAACTTGGGGAGGCTGTTGAAGCGCAGCGCTTTTAATCGTTTTCTCGATTTGGAGGAGCGCGTTCGAGGAGCACCAGTGGATGCTTGACCTCGGCGATGTTCCTTGGAGCGGTAGGCAGTGGCGTCACTCGAACTCGCGTGATCGGAGTTGCAGCTCGGCTCGTGTTCTCCGTCCACGCTCTGCTCGCGAAACAGGAAGCCCCGAGAAATTGCACCGCGAGGTGCTCTGTAATAGTCGGATTTTTGTTTTCAAAAAGAAATATATGCCAGAAGTCGCGCGTCACTCACTGCGATTGCCGTCTGTCAGTCATTTCGATGCTCTCGACGCCTTCGTCATCGATGTTCGCATCGACGGACGCCCGTCTGATGTCGATCGTTGGAATATTATGCGAGCGCGTTTGGTGCGTCTTTCCATCCGCTTCCACGTCTGCTTGGTCGAGGGAATCGTCGACTCCAAGATTGGTGGCACTTGGCCACGGTTGTATGCTGACCTTGGATGGCTTGCTCGTGCTGAGGAACGGCTTGCGATCCATGAGCTTGTGCTTGCTCGACAATTTTTTCATCGCGTCGAAAAATACACTGGACGATGATGATCGTCCGTTGCTCTTTGCTGGCGCAGCGCTGGAAAGGCTCTGCGACTCCGGCTCTTCTAGCGCGACCACTGTTTCGTTAGGCTTGTGAGCCAACCGACGAGATGGCAGAGGAGAGGAGCCACCCTGGCTGAAAAAACCGTTCTTACGTGAAATCCTCAGAGTGCGATTGTCGACCGTGGCCATTCTATTATTTGTGCTTTAATAGGAGTATTCGTACGCTCAAACTCGAAACGCGAGTGGACCTACGGAACCAGGACGGACGCGATCGTCGCGGCAAATTATATGAAAATTCTATGCAATTTTGCGCGTAGACGTGGGACCAAGTGTTCGCTCACTAATGTTTAATTTTCCCGTCAATCCTTACTCGTGATAACATTTTATGCGCGTCAGCCATTGCCGAAAGTTTCACGCCTTACCGTCTGTCAGTTCTGGAGAAATTTTCATTGTGTACGGCCAGATTGAAGCTCGAAGCTCTTGGAGATATGCCTTCCGGTTTCTTCTTATCGTCCTCCAATATGTTCGGCAGAAACATCGTTTGTTTTTCTTCGGGCACACTGATCGACAAATAACAATTGATTTCGATCGAGTGGTGAATTGTACATCTGTGACAATTGGAGATACAATGGTAGACTTACGTCATATTAGCAACGCTACCGCGATAAGTCTTGCGTTTGTAAGCAGCCGCAGCTTCAGTGTAGGGTAAAACCAAGTTTTCAGTGTCGTAGTATATGTCCTTGACGAGCGGTGGGCAACGATTCATCAACGTGTCAACGCCAAGATAGGAGACCTAATGCAAACAACAACCAAGTTGACTTAACAATATGAGCAAAATTTCAATTCCGCAGCGCTTAATGCTGAAATAGCACAACGACTGCGCGAGTCTCGTACCTTCACATGGCGATCGATCAACCAGTTCAGTTCGAAGTCTTCATCGTCGTCGCCGAAAGGATTTATTATTTGCTCGGCGACCTTTCGAAAGGCAAAATAGAGAAAGTCAGTGTTTGAATTGATCACGGTAAGATGAAGCTTTCGTTGGCAAATCGTACTTTGAGCAGGCCCATGTAGAAAAAGAATTGCAAAACTGTATAAGCAGGTATATAAATGTCTGTCTCAATCTGCGGACCCTTTTTCAAGGTTTCATTTTGCGTTTCAATGTATTGACGGCCGAAGAGTGCTACAAGGAAGAAGCAGTAAGTCGCCAGAGTAACGACTTGCGTGTAGACCAATGGAATGGAGACCCAATCGTAGCTCCATAGTAGACCGCACTTTTGTCGAAACTCATTGAATTCCTATTGTAAAAGGAAAGAATCAGATGTAACTGCAGCGATATTAATGAAAAAAGAGAGTAAATTATACCTCCATTATGATTTTCAAGCCCATAGGATCGGGTAATCGGTGGCTCGATCTAGCTTCCTTGAGTAGATTGATGAACCAGGTGCAAGGAATCCAGTAGGTATTGAATTCAAGGCTTGGCACAGATTCGAACAATTGCAGCTCCAAATGAGTCATAAATCCTATCAGGAGGAGGGACACGAAGACGTGAAAGAGTCTTCAAACGAAAAAAGAAACAAGTTCTCACCAGCATCGACGACGTGATCTAGGGTGGGGAATCGTCGTTTGACGGCCGAGCTGATGGATCGTAAAACAAGGATGAGCGACAGATTGAGGTAACGCATCAAAGCTCGCCTAAGCGTTCGCCCGTACTCGTCGCTCCCAATCACGTACAGCGCCACAGAGTGCATCACTCTTTTCAAAAAATCATGCATGATCGGTCAACAATCGTCTGCGATCGCCAAATAGCGACGGTCGTTCGGATACCCACTTGTCCGGCCACGGTATGGCCATGTACTGCTGCCACCACCTTTGCGCCACGTAGGCAACGTAGAAACCCAGGACAAAGCTGAGAGGTATATAGTTGATGAAGGCATCGCAATAGATAACGAATTTCTCGAACAAGGCTTTCTGATCGCCGCTGAGGGCGTTTCTGTAGAGGGCGGAGATGCCGCCGAAGATAATGAGGTAAATGGCCAGCTCGATATAGATGAGCTTGTAGAGGGAGCCTCGCCACATGAACAGTAGACGGGTGAAGCCGCCTCTGGTCGAGCTTGCGACCTCATATTGATAAGAGACCGTCATACTCGCGCTGCTGCAGCCTCGGGCTTGAGGCTAAAGGCCGGTTGACTTGTTTGGCTTGCACCACGCTGCTCGCGACCGCAACTGACCTTCGCGACTTGAGATCCGCATCGTCGCTCCTTCGTTTCCTGATTAAAGATTACATTTTATATTTATGTATTGCATAGGTTAAGGAAGTATGATGAGAATGCCAGTGATAAATGTCTTGCGAGTACTGAATGACATTTAAGTTTTTTGTTCGTAATAACAAATATGTATACTTATAAATTGATCAATCAATACCTAGTAACACGACTTTTTCTTCAAGTTAATAAAATGATTGCTTCGTGCTATACAAATCCTATTCGAACGTGTTATTAAAATAAGTATAAAAATGATATTGAGAACCTGAAGTAAACAGGCGTAAGTAAAATTTATGCAAATTTATCAGTGTATTGCGACAACATGAAGTTGGTAACTGCACACACACTTGCACACACACATACACAGCTTAAAGACCCTATCCTAGACCTACATAGATTTCTATCAGCAGACATTCATCCATCGTCGTTAATGTCTGGGGATTTGAACTAGCCTCTGCACAATCCTTCCTTGATCTTTCAACTAGTATAAATATCCGAATGGTATACCAATTTTGGAACTTAGTTGCATCATGAAAGAAGCATAATTAACGCGCCCGGAAGGACTGAGCGTTGCAACGATTAATATTTATATACTGAAAATACTTGAAACAACATTAAATTCATCATTTCTCATCTAAAAGAATTAATGTTCATATCGTCGGAGCTCAGAGCGAATGACTAATCACAGCGTAGCTCTAATTATTTGGCAAAGAAATGAGAGGAAAAAATGATTGCAATCGGTCGCGTTTGTCCGGGTTCGCCCCCTACCCCGTCACTCTCTCCCTCTCTCCGACTCGCGTGCGACGATACAAATATAGCTGCGAGCTCGCAAGCGATTTAGTACGAGAGAGCGAGATAGAGAGGCGAACTTTGTCTCAAGAGGCAAATGACTTTCTCACTGCGTCGTCGCGATCGAGGGCGCAGCCAGTTTTCAACGCTCAAATGTAAGGCTATGAGAGATCGCGTTCACTAAGGAAATCCGTGTCAAGGAGCCCCTGCCTGCGGTCATGTGATGCTGATGAGTCGCAATAATTAGGTCGCACATTGCAGCCTTACATGGATTATCCGAGTGCCTGTAATAATTTATAATGGGATCTATCGATCCCGTGCCGTGAGCAAGAATCGATGCCTCCGTTCTTTCTTCCGATGATAATTGAAAAGGCAGCTAGGCTCGTCTCTCTTGCGACGATAAGTGGCATCTCCAAGCTGACGACGGCATCGCGTGGCTTCGCGCACTCTCGCCGCGGATTATCAAGTTCAAAGGAGCGCCCGCGCACGTGTAGCGTTCGCGCGCCGTGGCGACGCTGACAAATCCGGAAAATTCAGTGGCGTGTCTCGTGCGTCTGAGAGTCAGCGAAATTAGTCTTGGCGTGCCGAGCCGCTTGAATTGATTGCTTGCCCTTTCAGCCTGTCGTACCTGTGTATTATCGACCCTCCCCCAATTAAACAGCATTCCTGCTTAATTCGTAAAAACGAAAATCAGTTGAACAGCTGGCTTATGGCAAATGGATAATTAACGATCTTTGCTTTCAATAACGTTTATTTCAGAGAAAAATATTTGCTTTAAAATTTCGAGTCTCGCTTCTTTATGAAAAATATATAAGAGCTCGTGAATTTACGTGCTTGTTGAATTCGAAAACTGTGTTTAGGTTCCGAGGAGTAGTAAAAATAAATCCACTTGCCTATTTTGTTTACGCGATGAATCGAAGCACGCCTAGACAGCATCGAGAGAAATATTGCAGCGGCCGATAGTTAAAGTCACGAGTGAATCAGCATTAATTCACAAAGAAACAACTGCAGGCGAAGTGGCAATAGCGAGAGCCAAGTCCGGGCCGCGTATAAAATGCCAGAAAATTCAATGAAACTGGCAGATTCGACAGCTCGCAAGCGATAGTTTAGAGGCCGTAAACGGGCGTAAGCAGTGCCGGCTGGGATGCGCGCGCTACAACGAGGTCTTTGACAGCTCAACTTTTTTTGGACGATCGCCGGTGAGGCCGAAGCCGAACCCGCGTGTGCGCGCCACTTGTTTTTATTTTGGTGGAAGGCCGCTTCCTGGCTCGCCCATTGTGCACCCGCTGCTTTAAATAACACTTTTCGCGCGGCACGCGAGCACCGGGGACAGATTGCAGGCCTTCGTATCGGCGGATCGGACATACCATGCCGCGCACCGTGCTCTGCGCCAAAGCGAGCGCCCGGGTAACGATACGTGCTGCTGCTGCGGCGCGCAACAAACTTTCCGCGAGCTTGCGCCGATGAAATTTGCTCGAGCTCGAACGCTCGCACGCCAACGAAGGGCGAACGGCGCAGTTCTGCGGGCGCTACGCGCGCCAGCAAGACGAAAACGAGGAAGAGCAATAGAAGGCCAGTCGGCTCGTGTGCGGCCGAGCTTATGCGCCGAGTTACACGGCATGAAAAGTTATGGGCTGGTTGCAAGGTGTATACGTGTGTAGGCAAGCCTCTGCGAGAGGCGCGCACGCAAATTCGCATGCCAAGAAATGAGCGCGCCGCTTGTTGGATACACACAAACACACTCGCGCACGTACATAGTCGGCATCAAATTCTCGATGTTACACTTTGACCGACGTGCGATTTGCCCCGATTGCTTTATACCTTCATTTGTCTTATGCTAATCCTTAACTTTTTTACTTCTTCCTTCTTCGTCGACCGAATTCATTATTCATACGGCAATTTTTACTTTCAAGGGACCGTGGCTCGACAGAAAACCTTGTCGGTGATTTTCCGCCGCGTGCGTGCACAAGATTTTCGGCAAAAGCATGTTATTGGCAATGGCATTGCTGACAAGCTTAAAATTAGATCTGTTAAATGTCGAAGTAGTCGGCTAACGTGTTATTTTTTCAGTGCACTTTTCGAGCATGGCCCAACGTGCTCGACGATGCTGTTCGTCCAAGGTGATACACATGGTAGTCGTGTGATTTCGATTGGATTCGACAATTTCGCGAATACAAAAGTTTCGATTGGAAAACAAACGATCCCCCTAGTCGTGTTCTTCACGCTTAGGCAAGCTCGCAGGAATAGGTATGGTTATATAATCATCCCGAGCGGAAAAGCAGTAAAAGTGCCATCCACTTTGTAAACCCTTGCTGCGCCAGAATCGTCGAGTGGCCATCTCTCTTCTTCCGAATTCGAAAGGGCGATCGCCCGTGGCTAAATCTAAATTTCGTTGGGAACTCGGCTGACGGCGACGCCACCTCGTAAACAAATAACCCGTCGTCAACATCCCTGAGAGCTCCATCGCGCGCAAATTATAAATAAATGCGCGGCGCGTACACGTGCGTCCGTGTGCAGCTTGCGCTGCATGATTTTCACAGATCGATCCGGGCTTTCGTCGCAGCCTTCGCTCGATCACATTTCTCACGGTCTTCTGGAATTTCACGGCTGAGATTTAACGAGGCTGCCAATCGTGCGCGCGAACTTCCCAGGCGCGAGAAGCCGCCGTCTCGCGTAGCGGATTTAATTTGAAATTCAAGACTTTATTTTTGTCTTTCTGGCCCTTACGCTTCATTCGAAAGGGATAGCGTTGAGCTTCCTCTTTCTGCACTTACTGGAGAGACAAAATCTGCCTGGATTAAGCCCCTCGGACAAAGCAGCTCTCGCAGACTTGGGGCGCATGATCTTGCACTGCTGGCTGGCTGATCGATCGGGCGAATTCAAATGCAGACGGCAAGACAGCTGCTTTGGGCATTGTCATGACACTTGAATTAACGATCACTCGTGCCTTCCCGCCTTACGTAATAGCCACACTAAATTTATAAATACACTCCATGTGATACTTTGCACTCCGAGATTTCGTCTTCGTGCAGCCGTCACGCTTGCCTTCAATCAACTTTACTTGTCGCAGAAACGACAGCTCGTCGGTTGAAAGCTCTCACTCGCGAAGGGTGAGACACTCCCGAATGGCCAATTTGTCGGTGATCGCCAGACCGCAGACAAGTAGAAATGGGGGGGGGGGGCGAAGGAGCAGAGGTGAGTGGCGCTCGTATGCTGATCGAACAGCGGGTACTTGCTTGCTGGGCGCTCGTTGGCCAACAACTAAGCTGCCGCCGTGTTACGCTCTGCACACAGGCTCGAAAAGCTCGCGCGCGCTCCTCGCCGCTGGCTGATCGCTCGCCTCCATATCTATACCTATCCGCCAGGCCGTCTTCGCAATCCTTCGTATCTTCCCCTTCGCCCGCTGCCTCCTTTTCGCTTAATCATTCAACTTCGCAATCTTTCTTCCACGCCAGTGCAAGCGGCGCATAGTCTGCTTTCATCGTTCGTCAAACATGTGAACACCTGTTATCGGACGACAATCATGCCAATCGCCCTCGCAACTGATTTCAAGGCTCTTTCTCTGTTATCTTCGGGATTTTCTGACTATAGTGTCGTTGGACGAGAACATATCGGGAAAAGTTACTCGGCATCGCGGAGAGTTTCGTTCGGTGATCGTTCGCGCCGGTTGTTGCGCGCGCTCTCTAGAAAGTGGGCAACCACCCAAGAGTTTAAAAAGACTCGAATGTCAAGCTCATGCATGCGTCAAGCCGAAAATCCTTTGGTCGAATTGTCGAGTGATTTATAAGTGACGCAATTTACTTGAAAATAATTTGCAGCGAAGCAAAAAAAAAAAAAGCCAAAGAAATATTTTTCGTAAAGTGACTAAATAATTACCTGTTTATTTGACTACTATTTGTAATGCTCAATCATATTTGGATAGCAATAAGGTGAGAATGATTCAGCGCGATTTATATAGATTTCTTATTATTTTATTGACGACGAAAGATTAAGAGCATCGTTGAGAAACATTGTTTGCTTGCAGTCATTTCCTTTGAATTATCAGACTTTCAGTAATATATCATACTCTACGATTTCCAATTTTCATTGATAGCTAAATACGTATAAATCTCTTTTGAATATTTTATTTATCCAGTTTCATTACTCTCAGCTACGAGAATTGCAAAATTAACATATATGAGAATCATGAATGATTATCGTATTTTCTCGTCAAAATAATCATTAAAAAAAGAACGTAATCACAGTTAGATTTGCGTTGCTGAAATTCAATTCGATTTTCACGCCAGTGATGAAAATCGGACGAGCAATAAATAAATCTTATTTTCCATTTCTATGGGGATTGAGGTATGTTTACAGAGAGATTTTAACACTTCCAAAATAACATGAATTCTGACACATGACTAGACTACTGCGCAGCTATCTGTGTGCAAGCTAGTTCTACAGATTCATAAAAAGGAGCGTATTTGGAAAACAAATATGAACAATTATGAGATACACCTAAGTTAATTAATAAATGTCAATCTAGAATGAGTAACAGAGTACTATTTATTTTACATGACAATTTCTTAATTTTCAATCTATGTGTATTAATTAATTTACTTGTTTCTCATAATTGTTCATTTTTGTTTTCAAAATACGCGTCTCTTATAAATATTTGGTCATTAGTTAGAAGAAAAAGAAGAATGAGCTCGAAAAGGTTGTACGAGCGAGTGCGAGCTTATAGCCAAACTCACTCGTGAGGTGAAAGGAAGAATGAGGTTGGTAAGGCGGAAGCGTTTCATCACTTTCGTCCCGGTATTACCAACTGAACTCGTCGGCGAAGCTCAACGGTCGATAACTGCATCATGCGCTTGATTGGAGCGCGGGTTGTTGTTGCCATTGGTGCGTGTTATTGCATCGTAAGCTTAGCAATTCGCAAAAAATAAGTAAAATAAATTTGAAGCTTTATTTTCTTATAGAATCCCTGGATATAAAGCTCTGAAAATTTCAGAATTAATTTTTCCTACCTCGGTTTACCATATATCTAAAATACATCCATTTTTTAAAGAATATCATTTCAGATTATATGTTTTTACAGGTCCAGCTGATAAATCAACCGGCTACTATTTCGAACGCCACCTAAGCTCATAGCAAACCATTAGCTTTCTCCTCTTGGTTGCACGCAAGTTCATTGAACGAAGGTTTCGATCTGTGTTGGCTCTCTGCACTGTGCATAAAGGTTTCAAACTCGGTTGAAAAAGAGGTCGACAAGATACTCAAAGGTACATACAGTGCAGACGGTTGTTATAGAAACATCCTCGTTGTTTGTTATATATAGTTTTTTTATCGTACGCGTCTGGATGTATCTGTCGTGCAGTAGCAAAAGATGCTAGCTCCTCTAACCTAACTAAATTTTGCAAAGATTATGAACTGGTTGATGCCTGTTTGCATGTGAGTAAAACTTTTTCAACACATTCAAGCTTCCCGTACTTTTTGTTTTTAATTCGCTGTTGAATTTAAATATTATTCTACTCTCTTTTGTTACAGAAAAACATGGCGCACAAGTCAATTTTATTACAAAAACAAATCAGAGACAACTCAGAAGATTTACAAAAAGAGTTTCTTGATATGGAAGCATGGGAAGAACAGATGAAAAAAAAAGACTTTGAAATTCGGCATATGAAGGATGAGAAGGTATTTAAAAACTCTTAACCCTGTGAACTTGAAAGTGAATTTCTTTGTTCTCATAAAACAAAAAGTTTATGTAAAGTAAAATTGTACACATTTCTGAATAAGTCAAAATGTCTTTTTTTGTAGTATTTCTGTATTATTTCCAATATAAAAATTTAATAAACATTAATTATTTATTATACAATGCTAAAAACTAATTGAACAAATAAAAAAATAAAACAATCAAGTGCTTATTAATCTTCACAGTACATCTACATCATTTTTTAACAAAAAATCTATAAATCATTGCTTTTTTCCAGTTTTTAAAGTGTATTAAATTTGTTCTAATGTGTAAAACTAAACATTTATATTTGTAAAATTTCCATTTTTCAAGGTTCTTCCTCCTGTCAGAACTAAAAAGAACAAGAAGAAGGTAACCCCTTACAGTAGAGAGGAAAAACCAAAAGCCAAACGAATTGCATCTTCTGACTATAAATCATGGGACAAATTTGATGTTGTAAGTTATTAAATATTTTGTTTATTTGTAATTATTTCTTCTCTATATTGCATCAACTTTTATATTTAGGAAAAAGCATGTGATGAACTTGATGAAAAAACAGTTTCAAAATCAAAGAAAGAAAAAGTTGAATTTGAAATTCCTTCTTCGGAACAATTAGAAAAAGAACACACTGAAGCAAACAAATACAAAGATGAAGGTAATCTTCTAGTTAAAAAGCAAGAATGGGCTGCTGCCATAGGAAAATATAATCAGGCTCTTAAAATATTTCCACATGATGCTGTGTTTTATGCTAATCGAGCACTTTGCCAGTTAAAGTTAAACAAGTAAATATAATTTTTTAGTGTTAGTTATTCTATCATGGTTATGTTATAGCAATAATATAACATGTATTTTATTATTACAGCTTATATTCTGCAGAGGCTGACTGTACAGCTGCCTTGAATCTCAATTCAAACTACATTAAAGCTTATCATAGAAGAGCTTCAGCAAGAATAGAATTAAAACACTATGAAGATGCTAAAAAGGATATAGAAACAGTAATAAAATTAGAACCATCTAATAAAGAAGCTAAATGTATGTTAGTCCAAGTGCAAGAACGCATTGATGCACAAGCTTCAAAGGTGAAAATAATTTCTAGTGTTAATTTACTTTAAAATTTAATTTGTATTTTATGAATTAATTATAATTCAGAGAATAGACATTTCTGGAAGTGAAAGCAGTAATTTTGAAAAAAGAATTGGAGAAAAATTGTTTGAAAAAAAATCTATTTTAGAAAATACAAAATATAATGACAATACTGAAAATAAAAATAAGAAAACAGCAATAACCGAAGAATTTATTACTGAAACTAACAGTGGTGTATTTAAACAAACTATTGAACATAAAGATGACCAAAAAATTGAAAAAATAAAACTTCAAGAAACTGAATCAACTGAAGGTTTACCACCATGGTTACCTAAATTGAAAGAAAACGTTAGCATTATTGAACCTTTAACAGAAGCTTCTCAAAAGTCTAAACAAGTAATTTCTGAAATTTTATTTCAATTACAGTATATATTTATATTAGTTACTCGATCTAAAGAAGTTTACATATGTTTTAGAAACTAAAGAGGATACTCATCAAAGAATTACCATCAAATGAATCGATATTTAAAGATGTCGTTGACGAATTAGCTGTAGGAAACCTAGAAAGCTCATCCAAAGGAAATAATATTAATAAGCCTAATGTTAATAGTAAACTGGTTACTCAACTTCCTATTAGCAATCTTAATGAAAGAAAAAACTCAAATGTAATGTATAACTTGCCTCCACCTCCAAAATCAGCAGTAGCATTTCTTTTAGATTGGCGAAAATGTTGTTCTACAGAATACAGATATAAATATTTGAAGGTAAAACCAGTGTTCAAATATTGAAATAAATTAATGCTTTTTAACATATACCTAAAACCACTTTTGTTTCAGCAAATTAATCCTAAAAATCTTCCAGGCATATTTAAAGATTCTATGGAATCTAATATTTTTAGTGAAATTTTACAAATTTTAAATTTACATTTTACTGCTGATGATAATATTTACGATTTTTTGAATTGTTTGGCGAAACTCAAACGATTTAAAACCCTGGTGTTATTTATGAGTGCATCTGATAAAGAAGGTAAATGATTATTATTTTAATATTTTTTATGAATTGATGAAAAAGTCATGGAAAATCTACTGAATTCATAATTTTTAGCTTTAAAAAGTCTCTTCAATCGTTGCAAAAATAAAGAAGGCAGAACCGAAGAGGATTTACGAAATCTACACGCTACTTACGAGATGTAAAATAATTGTTGGAAGAGTCGTGTGCAGTGTACAAATATTTTCCTCGTGGCAACATATTCATTACATGAAATAGTTTAAGATTTATTAAATTATTGAAAATTGATATAAGATAGAAGCTTAAGGAAAATAGCTATCATTTGAAAAGATTAAGACGCATTTAAATATCTAATAGTTATAAACGAGATAAAACTCGAGTAGCAAAGATTACAAAACTGTTTCTATTAAAAGTTTTTAATTATTTTTAAATTCAATATGTTCGAATAATTAGTATATTTTAAGTTTTAAATATACATTAAAAATCATTTCAATCAAATATGTTTCAGTTTTACCTCTATTTTTGATATCAAACATGCATCAACACTACCTTAAAGTAGTGAAAAACATTTCATTGTTGTCAGTATCAATCGAGCATTACCTACAAAAACCATCAGTTTTTGTCCAATTCTTCTAATGGCGTATGAAACGCGCATAGAGTTCCAAAGTTCGCAGAGACTATGAAAATATTCGCGGCGAATCAGATTATAATCTGATTCGAATTCCGTCGGCGCACGATATACCTATCAGAGAACGAGCCGAGCACAAGGCACATCTGGCAGTGCGCGCGCGCTCACAGTAGTTAGTTCGCAGGCGCCAGTTGTGCGTGCAGCTTATACTCGCGTGCATTTACACGACTCGCCTTGTTGCGACGTAAACATATACATTCCCATACAGGTATGAGATACCTGGCTGCCCTCGACGTCGGCACCACGACCATTCGTTGCCATGTTCTCGACGAAGCCGCCAATAATGTCTCTGTCTGCTCCGAAAAGGTTCGCTCGTACAATATCTTTTTAACTCTCGTGTATCGATCTCCCGCATGCTTGCCTGCCTGCTTACGACCCTACATGTGCGGGCGTTGCTCTGCAGCTGTCGTTCTTTTCTTTTCTTTTTATTGTACCTATAGGTCGGCGTGAGGGTCATGCGTTGGTAAATGTTTTTCTGAAAAACTCCACCAACTAAATTTTACTTAATAAACTTAGCCAATACTTTCTCATTGATCGTGTTGAAATTTTAATCGCCACTGAGTTGCGATATATCAACCGGTATGTTTGCTATGTCAACTGCTTGGTTAAAGACTTTCACTGACATTGGTTTTTTTAAATTGCGCCAATTAATACAGCTCCATGCATAACTTAGACTAACATTCTCATGCGTCACGAGGGAATAATATAATTTTAAAAAGTCTCATATAGGCCGCATACGTATTGAAACTACTTTTAGAGTGCGCCTATCAGTGATGAGAGATAATATTCGTCGAGTGCGTATGGTACGAATGCATTTTTTCCTTTAAAATAAGCCAATGCGATAGATAAACATTTTAAAGTAGATTATTTTAATTTGTATTAAAACGTCTGCGACTATATTTAAAAAGACAGAATTGAAAATATAAAATAGTTTTCTTATATGTAAATCATTAATTTATAAATTTATGAAACTTATGAAATAATATATGTTCATATAACTCATTCTACATAATTATTTTCGATTTCCCAATGTATCTTGTTGATGAAGAAAGCATGATTTATGTAAGATAATAAAGCATTATTTATAAAATCCAAGGATGCACAACTATCGTTAACAGCACAGTTGAAACCGGTTCAAAAGCCGGAAATTAAATAATGTGCAGAGCCACTGAAAGGTTCAAGGACCAAATTACAACGAGTTCATGTATATCTATATGTACAACAGTTGCTTTTATAAGAGCTGAAATTGGTGTGTAAAGACGTAACGCGGTTGAATAAAAAATGATAATGGTCGATGGAAAAACTTTTCCTGGAATATAAAAAAAAACAGCTTGAACTATTATTTTATTGATCCTAGATGGAACTGCTGTATCCGAAGCCTGGTTATGTAGAAATCGATCCTGACTGGTTATGGGATACCGTAGTTCGAGTTACCAAGCAGGCCATTGAAGGTGAGAACGTAACATTTGTCAAAACAAAAATTGAGGCAAACTGAATCACGATCCGCGATTTTCATAAATTCTTTTTCAATTAAAAGAACAATGACTAAATTATAGAAAGCGGCGTTGACCCATCAAAAATTGAAACGTTGGGCATATCAACACAGAGATGTAGCGTGATCACTTGGAACCGCGAATCAGGAAAGCATTACCACAAGTGAGTCTTTCAAAAGAAATTTCATAGTCAAAAAGACTAATCTTTTAATCACATCTTTTATATTCACATTTACAGCTTTGTAACATGGAAAGACCTACGAGCAGATTCGCTCGTGAAAAGTTGGAATTCGTCCTTGACTATGCAAGGCTTGCGACTAGGCTCGCGGCTGCTGTATTCAATATCGCGAAGCAAAAGATTTCAAGCTGGTAGTGTCCTTCGACTTATGAACAATCAGGTCGGTCATATTAAATATTAGAAATAAGTTATGAATGTGCTATGTGTACATGAAATCGTTCTTCAAATATCATTTTTTAAATTTATTGTTTTTGCAAAAGTAAAGAAGAAATTATAAAATTGTTCGTGTGAAAATGAGATGAGTTTATAGATAAATATTGTAAATACATACATTGCTAATATAAAAAGTTGTGAGTTTACGACCCTGTTGAAAATATCACATGATTCATTTCGATGTGGCAAATGATGGTTAAAAGTATTGTGTATTCTAATTTACTTTATGTATTAATGAATAGTAAGACTTATTGATAAAATAGCACTTAATAACGAATTAATAAAAATACATGAGTTAAACGTGACAATTATTACGGGTTACGACTCACTGAAAATAAGAATCGATAGTCATTGTATCAATAACATAAGAACATCATTCTTATAACATGCTGTTATGTGTCGATCAATTGTTGGAAAAAGAACAATTGCGTTGCTAAACAATTTGTTACTTTCTCTTTATTTTTTCCGATTTTTCCAGTTACTTATGTTAACAGCTTAATACTGATTATACACGTTGTCAAGTTATTTTGAATTTCGCTAATAAAGTTATAATTCTGATTTCTTTTATAATAATTTACATTGCCATGTATTGCACGAATGTGTGAAAGTTACATTTTGGAGGCTCATAAGTAACAATACATAACAAAAAGCATCTATCAAAATTTGCTGGAACGATAAACAACTTTTTGAAGAGCCACAGTGACACAACAAATTTGGTTGCTATTCGACTGCGTGAATACGTGAAAATAATTCTGGCAGGATAGACAGTATGAAGGTATTAATCAAAATATAATTTCAGATAACTCTACGTTTATTATGGGCTTTGGAAAACGTTGAAGGTCTGAGAGCGGCGGCTACGAATGGCACTGCAATCTTCGGCGGTGTTGATTGTTGGCTCTTATACAAGTTGACAGGTGTGTGTGTGTGTTTGTGTGACATGAGATATTACAGCAATAGAATATTCTCTTTGCTACACATTTTGTGTATGCTATTGTTACGGCTTTCAATTTGCATGATGCTGACGTAGTGCTTTGTATTTCGTAAGTGTATCGTTTAACGAAAAGCTATTACATCACATTTTCTAAACTTTTAAAACTTCTATGTGTATTAACCGAACAAGTGTTTGTTGAGGTAAATGCCAGCTTTTGAGACACTAGAGCTATTTTTGACTATTTATCGAAATAAATTTTGAGAGCAATTGGAGCAGTTAAAAGTGTAGTTAAACTATTTCTATTGATGTTTCGTAAATTACACAAAGAAAAAAAAATAGAATAATGCTTTTATTTAAAGAATATTGACGAAAAATATTAAAATTATAGGTCAACATATTACTGACGTAGCAAGTGCCTCGGCCTCGGGACTGTTTGATCCTTACACAATGTCATGGGCTGGATGGGCGCAACATATATTCAACCTGCCAGGAAAAATGTTTCCAAAAGTCGTGGACACGGTTGGTAATTTTGGACATACGTCGACTACGGTTTTCGGTGCTAAGATACCTATTTCATGCTCGATGGCCGATCAGGCGGCATCGCTTTTCGGCTCCGGATGCATTAAGCCTGGAGATTTGAAACTTACCATGGGTACCGGTAGTTTCATTAATGTCAATAGTGGTAGTAACGTTCATGCGCTGAGTGCAGGTAGGTGCAGTTGATTATTTCTAAAATAAATCGAAAACAATTGACATTAATTTCTGTTACAGGTTTGTATCCATTAGTTGGTTGGCGCATGGGCTCTAAGATTTCATACGTACTTGAAGGCTTATCTAATGATAATGGAGCCGTTATAGAATGGGCTAAATCATCTGGTAAGCTATAAATAAAAAAATTATGAATGAAATATAATTTTTAACTAAACGCTAATTTTTCTTTCAGAACTCATAGAAGATCCGTTGGATACATGCGTGCTAGCGAATTCTGTGAAAGACACCGACGGAGTTTACTTTATACCCGCTTTCAGTGGTTTACAGGTATAATTAGTTAATTTATTAGATAGAATGACGTAGAAACTTTAATTAAAGTATAAATGATTGTTTTTAGGGACCTATAAGCGACGAGAATGCAGCTGCGGGATTTATTGGCGTTAAACCCACTACTCAGAAAGCTCACCTTATACGTTCGATGTTAGAAAGTTTAGTTTTCAGAGTATTATTGATATACGAGTGCGTTCAACGAGAAACGAAATACTCGTTCAAAGAAATAAAGTACGACATAGAGTAAAATTATAATATTTGAATATTATTTCTTTCTATGACAGTGAATATTTTTTTTAATGGTATACATTTTTTTTCAGGGTCGATGGAGGAGTTTCCAAGAACGATTTTACAATGCAACTTTTAGCTGACTTAACAGGTTTAGAAGTAGAGCGAAGTACAAGTAGCGAAATGTCGATATTGGGGGTAGCATTTCTTGCCGGACTGCAACAAGGTATTGTTTCATTTATTTGTTTTGTTTTTTTTCTTTAAGAGAATTATTATTTATAAAGTTACTCACAACATTCATTCATCCAGGTATTTGGAAAAACAAAGAGGATATATTCAAATTGCGCCAAGTAGACAAAATTTTTTATCCTAACAAAGAAAGGCAAGCCGCATACGAGCCAGTGATCAAAGAGTGGAGAAGAGCCATTGAAAGATTCACAAACTGGTACTGACAGTACGCCAATACATCGCGAAATTGTAGAAGTGACAGAGAGAAATACCGTAAAAATCTGCATTACTTAAAAATACTCACAAATTTACTGGCGTTCATTTTCATACTAGTGTTCGCCCGAGCCCTAAGTTTGAAGAACTACAGCTCCAAGCATAAATGAATCATCGAGAGTATTTTTAGATTTATAACACCATATTTATAACACAATATTGCCATGAGACTGACTCACGTAAAACTAGACGTAAAAGATGACAGGGAAATGAATTTTTGTACGATAATTTAAAAGATTATTCGTGCAGCAAAGGAGTATTGTTTTAGTATATAATCGCCGACTTGTCATTGTTGTTATGGATACTAGAATTTTTATATACTGTTATAAATATATAAATACTTGGACTAAAGTGCCTGTCATATAGCATTTGATGAATTAAAATTTGTACATAATGAAATCGATATTTTTATACAGCTGTTAAAATAAAAGTCATGTTAATATAAATCTTTGTAATTATAATTAATCCAAATACTTCTACATATAGAATAGATTTTTTCTATGAATCTTACTTTATTGATATAATACTAAAAATCTGAACGACAATCGTTTAGAAAAGTTAGTTAAACGAATAAAAAGGTGCAATCATTCATTTCAGATCGATGTTGATTTTTAATCAAGCGTGAATTCCATTAGACCTTGCCGATAGCGATGCCCTTTTTAAGTAATCTAACACAATGTTGCCGTAATTTATCTATCAAGATTCTTAATTTATTCTATAAGCTACTTGGATTTATTTACACGCGCGTGATAGCTAAATACCGTGTTATGGTAGCAATCACACATCAGTAATATCATTGACTATTTATAAGCGTAACACAGAAAAAAGATCTGATTTTATTCGAAAAAAATAGAAATAAAAAATATCTAAATATTGAATCAGGTTATGCTAATTGATGCCTGGTCTTTAGTTAAAAAATACCACATCTATTCCTACATTTTACGACAGCATGGAAATCAGTTGGGTGTATCAGTTTTATTTTGCGAAATCTTTTTAATTATTCGATCATGAAATATAGTTTTATGAAAATAATCTACAGCCAGGCTTGACAAGTATTCTTAATGATTTAGTAATTTTCTCAAAATTAATAGTGTTACCTTAAAGTTTGAGTGAAACCAACGAAGAACTTGCGTTATTTATATATTGTGTATATAATTTTCAAACAAATAAAGTATGAAGCGACTTGTGTTGTTAATATTTCGATAATACTTATACTTTTCTTAAAATAACAATTTATCGATAATTTTAGAAATAATAAGTGCAATTGTTCATAATGCGTGCGCATATACGTTCTAAATATATTTTCTGATGGTTGAAAGCGCACATTGGTCTGAAAACTGTTGTTCGTATTTTATCGTGAAATCGTCACGAATGTAAAACTATCTGACAGTAAAAATAGCCTTTCAATGAGACTTTGAGTAAAGGAAATTCACCGTGATAATCAATCGGGGTCAAAGATATTCGATCAAACAAGCTCATTCCCAAATAATACGTCCAGCGAAATACAAAAGCTATGAAACTCACTCACGGCATTCGCCGGCTGACTCGTGCACGTGTGCAGTCGAAATCGCAAAAATTACGTCTCAAAATCGGGCTTACGTAGCCGCGCAGACGATGCTTTACTCTGCTTAGCACAGTAAATCCGATCTACGTTGCGCAACGCGCCACCGTGCGAGTGCCGAAGCTCTCTGCGCGATGAACTTGCCATTTTTCCATTGAAGACCAAATGAATTCGGGCGGCGAGCATCGTGGTCGCCTCATCGATTCGCGATCGGTCATCGAGCGCGGCTGCGTTGCTCATCGGATCAAGCCACGCCGAGCTTGCTCGAACTTGTGTCAGTGCACATTGTTTATTTGCGCACGCTGCAGTCGTAGCTCAACGCGGCAGTCATGGTGAGTTTTGGCCAAATTTACGACTCGCGCATGAGTGTCGTTGCGTAATATGTATATTTAAATGTAAGTTTACGGTGGCGATCGTATCGCGTGCATGGATATGAAAGTCTCTGTCGAGTTGCGTGCGATGCAGGACGCGATCATGCGAGAGAAAGTTCAGCCGAGTAATTTGGCTATCGGGCAAATTTAATAAGCAGCGAGCCGCCGGCTCGCCAGTATTTTCGTTCGGCCGGTGATTGATATTCGAGCTCGCTTCAATTAACATAAGTTTCAGTTGATTATTTTGTGACGCAAAAGACTGCCATTTTCGGCGACTACTTGTGCATTCGCTTAATCAGACGAGAACCGCAGATTTCAAAAGGATAAACGTTATTAAGCCCTTGCGCTTTTGGTTGTACGATAAACATTTGCTTGTTTTTCATGGGTGCACGGATTTTACAATAAGGTTTGTTGAGGCCGTTGAACTGAGTGTGCGCGCTGTTGTATTTATTTTCCAAATCATTCCAAGTTTATCGATTAGACTATTCAATATTTATGAATACATCAACATTAATTATTGATCAATGCGTTTCATTTTCATCCAAGTAAAAACACTTATACGCCGTGTTTATTTATTTTCGTTATAAATACGAATATTATTAAGAATTAATAGTCGTTAAACGTGACTCTAATAATGAAGCAATTATAGATAAGAGATTTCTTCAAGTCGAAGACATTGTGATCAGAAAATTTTTATCAATTTCTTGGAACCATAGTGAGACTATAGATGTAATAATTTTTGTGCTTGCACAATTAGAAGTCGTTTTTTTATATCTGAAAATGAATTAAAAGAGCTAGAAAGTTGACAAAATTCGCAAGTATTTAATGACATTCAAGTCACCTGCAAATGTTGACCAAGTTTTCTCGTCTAAGTGCTATTATTGATTGAAATACACAACTTTTTCATTAATTTTTCAAGTTTAACGGCTGCCGTCTTCGGTCGTTCTCAGTTCTGGTTTGGTATCACAAATACACTGACGAATCGGATAAACTCGCTCATCGTAAAATACTTCCTATTGTACGTATATCGATATTGAAATTGAAAGTAGAGTAAATGTAAATTGCGAGCAAGATACGGACGCATTAAACAAAAGTGAAAGAAAGCCACATTTGTGCGTAGAATTCGTTGCAACGTTGGTTCCGTTGTCTAGACTTCACCGTTCATAACCGTTTAAAAAGCTGAAAGTGGATATAACGATGGATAGGAACTAGTTCGTTTCGAGGAAAAACCGGTTCGGTAACTTCTATATTCGATCGAAACGATTGTAGCTTTGTCTTAAAACTTTTCGAATAAATCCTTGCAATAACGCCAGAGTCTCTCTCGCCTGTCTAAAAGCCCACGATCACCTGAAAATTGCAGCACAGTGACATAACGCTTGCATAAGTTAAGCACGCCACCTACGCAATTGGTGCGGTTAAGCGCCGGTAGCTCGCGTAGCTAATTGCAATTGATAGCGCAGTTGAGTGTTCCACCACCACGATTTGCAATCAGATCCGCTGCTCGCGCGCATACTCTCGGCTTTGTTTGCTCGCCGAGTGATTCCGCTCCGACAGCTGTCTGCTTCCCGAGCCTGTCCCCGTCGTACGCCCAAACTTTTGCGACTGATAGAATTATAGGAAAGAAAAAGAGAAAAATGACATCTCCCGCGCGAGCAGATCGAGCGGGGAACAGGTAACAGTTTCCCCTCTCACGCTGACTCGTTCGTCCAGCATCGGCATCTCCGCCTGTGCAGTTTCTCGTTAGCCGGTCGATTCGTAGCAACACGATCAGTTTTTGCCGGGGCTGTCCAAATTGTTATGATCGACAAACAGCATGGAAAAGTCGTCGTTACATTAGTCAATTGCTATTGTAGGCGGAAGTTGTTCTAACGATGCCCGAAGTGGCAAACGAGCCCACCAGCGAGCAATCTTCTTCGATTGTTGTGGACATCGACGGTGAAGTGCGCACATGCCGGCTTGATCTTGAGCACGATGGTGTGGCCGTGATGATTGAGCCGTCGTCCGAAGGTAAGGCGCAGTTTAACCACAATCATTGACGTAATTGTATATATCTGGACTTTCTAATTGAACTCTCTTGTGCATTTACAATGTTTTCTTACTATCGCTGCTGTATAATAATCTCTTATTAATATTCTTAACTGGCATTACGCTCGAAAACTTTGTACTTATTTCTTACGAGCTATCATGATTATATTAATGTTTGTTTTTTGACTATAAATAGATAACGGGTGCTTCACAAGTATTCTAAGTATTTATTGAGTTACAAAATCAAATTGCACTGAATGTTTCTTTTACAATGTGATTTATTATGCGCTTATAGCTCTGCTACTGAATCATTCCTCCCAAATGTCGATTAAATACGTATATATGTTTCTTTGAACACGCAGACTAACTGATGTGCATCGCATCGATTGCTTAACATCGAAAGAAAACTTTTGGCTGAACGGCTTTTCGCTTCTCCTTATCGGAAAATCCGTAAATTTAAGAAATATTTTTTCTGTGGAATCTTATTAAGCTACATTACCTCAACATGCTTTGGAATCAGAAATATCGAGTTAATACAACTCCGCCGAATAATGCGTCAACACAAGCCAAACATAAGTTTTTGGGTAGGTTTTACAAGCGTTACTTTGCACGCCGAGTTATAGTAATTGGCGAAATTAAATAAATTTTCTAAATAAATGCAAATATACTTTACATTAATGCATAGCTATTATTATTTTAGCAAAGAAAACTTTGTTTTCAATTTTTCTAATTAGCATAGCAATATCGCATAAAAATATGTTTCAAAAATAAAGTAATGAGCGATGTCGATTCGTTCTGCAAACAATCGTATTCGCATGTGCATTTGCAATCAAAATAAAAGAAGAAATTATTGGCTTTACGCTCAAGTAGAAAAATATTCTCTTGGTATTACAGCAGCAAAATCTGTCTTTAGTTGTTTTACAACGCATTCGTTTAAATTAAAATATTTACGATTCAAGATTTTCCGATATTATATCCAAGCTTTACATTACCTTACTGGGTCATTGGTTATAAACAATTTTTCGATTCACAACACGTACGAATGACGAATCAACATATAGTATGCGAAGCTATAAATTTCTTCATACTCAGTAAATCACTTATATTCTTATGGCATTTGCTACCTACTGAGCTTCATACCAGACATTTTTCAACATACAAATAAATCAATTGATAAGTAATAAACGCAAATTTAGAAAAATGTAATGGCGCAAAAAAAAACAACAACTCGTGTTTTGAAAAATTATTACCTTCATTTTCTTGTACTCAAACATTTGCATTCTCATAAATGAAATACACAAGAGCTGCCAATTTGCATTCGACTGCTCGTTCCTTAATTATCGCCGACTTGCTTGCCTCCTTGTCCGGCGCAATCTCAACAAGGAAACTTCATCGGTGTCACGCACAAGGTTTTATAGTTTTTCTGATACACATTTTAGCGAAACGCACATGATGTAAGTCGTTTTTACGTATGAAGGAATGACAATGATACGAGTTTTAGTGGAATCTTGAAGTTTACCAAGCAAAGGTATTTCAGTTATATTTGACTGCAATACTTAGATAATACATTTGACGATCTTTCAAAATTTTGTTCTTGATTAGCTATGCAGTCGACTGAGTATCTGAATGGTGGTTTTCGCAGCAGTATGTAGGGGCTAGAACGTAGTTTCAATAACTTATGAGGTCTCCGAGCTTTTTGCGCACTTGCAACAGTATAGGCCGATTTCGTAGGCAGCAAAGAAGGGGACGGTTAGCAATGAGAGTATACTTATAACATCATCTAAGGCATCAAAGCTATCACCTCGTTCACCTTCGTGTTAAGTAGCTCGTATACTTAGTATCGTTGTTGGTGCAATTTTAATACAAGCTAACAACCTCTGTCAGACTCTTCAATCTTTCATAAATCATGTTGTCGATTCGACTAGCTGGATCGCCTGTCATTGCTTTAGTAGCTGCCTATAACGCCTGCAGAGATTACCAGCAGCGCTTCACGTGCAAGAGAGCTTATGTGAGCTCATTTATTTTTACAGCGCGTTCTTCTTCGCATTTATTATTTTCAGCAGAATTAACATGTTCTGTAAGTTTATTTAAACAGAATATTGTCATTTTTGCATATGTAAATACATAAGAGGTAGAGTGACAGAGCTCGAAATAAGCTAAATGTTTTGCACTCTCGCGAGAATGCTTTACATGCACATACAAAACATTAGACAACTGTTTCGTAAAGCTTGGATAATACTTACGGGTGAAACATGGAAAAGCTATGCAATAGTTTAATTGAAATAAAATAATTAATTGTGGTAACAACATGCTTTTAACATCGTAAAGCACATTTTTTTCTTATCTCTTTATAATTTAACAACAATACTCGGATAAATCTCATAGAAATAAGCCAATTATCATTCATTTTAATCGGCTCGTAATGTTCAAGCTGCAATGACTAAATTCATTGAGCAAAGCAAGACCGGGGATGCCGTTAAAATTCAAGTGGAAGCCGCTAATGGAGGTACGTTATAAGATAAAGCATTGTCCACGAAACCACCAAGACATATGTCTACTGAACTAATCTTTTTGCATGTGTCTAAACTTGCACGGCTGTGTTCCAATTATCATACCAAGCACTGATATTTTTAGTTTTAAGTTTTTAATTTTTTGGTTGCTCATTACGAAATGTATATTTGTACATTTTAACGACACGCGTTTTGCAACACATGCATTAAAGTACGTAACCCTCTGCGCAAATTGACTGACAAAGTATTTTTTTTTAATATTTTTAATGAAAAAATGACACTTGTGGCATATGAAATATTCTGAATATTTACACGTAATCGGTTAGGTAAGTAAAGAATGTTTTTTTATCACATTTCCAATTTGATTAATTGTGAAAGGATTCAAAACCCTATTAAAAATAAATTAGCACAATTTTTTCAAAGATAGTATCAATATCAGATACAGCACTAAACATTGATAGATCAAAAAGGATTGCTTATTCACGGTACTTGCAACCACAAACGTCCTTCGTATCTAAATTTAATGTTTGTGCATGATATAAAGTCCTCTCATTGATGTCGTGGAAACGATCATGTCATTAAAATGTTTTGTGTTGCAACTTCAATTATAAATTTAAATATTAGCTATGACATCGTTATATCTAAGACAATGAGAAACCACAGAAATATGAATGTGTACGTATTTCTTTATTTAATGCCTAAAAAGCCTCTTACTAATTTTTTATTTACTCAATTGATGAATGTAATTTGATGTAAAACGACTCGATATATTTATTAGCACAAATTTGCTGAACATGTGGGCTATTGTGTTAATAATATTTTATATACTAATTTCAAACGTACATACACATACATAATGCCACATGTTGTTAACCCACATGACTACATTTAATCAATCAAATTACGAATAAAGTGACGTCACTCGGCAAGCCATCACTTTTTTATATGGGAAAAAAAAGATATAAGATCAGATATGCGCTGTTCGTGCTCTTCTCTTTTTTTTCATTTCTTATTATTATATTAATTAAAATATTTAACATAAATTACATTTTTCAAATCTGGACTTTTCAATTTTTTTACAAAACATCACAGCGGTAAAATGTGTATTAGTGATAAAACAAGTTCCTAAATTTATCATTTAACATATCAAAGACTGCAATAAATAATATTTCAGTTTTTTAAATGAGTCAAATTATTATTAAACATTTATCCTATTTTTTCAAAAAAGATTGCGACATTATAACCTTTATCTTAATATTACACACTGAAAAAATAGATTATCGATTAGTAATAGAAAATAATTAGAACGATTTCAATCTCTTGTTTTTACGAACCGATTTATTCGATGCTAGCTTACAATATAAGTGCGGGAAAGTAGATTCTTGTCTCGTCTGGCAATTGCGCCCGAGCGAAGTGAAGGTGGAAAGGCAACACGAGACGAGAATCTTTTTTACGAACATGTGTCGTGTAGTGTTTTTCGATGCGACGTGTGGAAAGCGCGATTGTCAACGTACATTTTTTCCTGAGCGTGTGAGAAAGACGCACTTTGCATACGGAGTGTCGAAAATTAATTATCGAATTATCGATACAAATCTCGCAATTATGTCGGAGATCAAAGAGATATATAATCAATTATGTCTTTCGGCTGTAAACAAATTTTGACTTTTGCCAAGCGTAATATGCGTCAAACTGATATTGGATAAAGTTTGAGAAAAGCTATAATTATTGTCTCTTAATTGTCTCATGAGACAGTGCCAAACTTGGTAGTTCGATTAATTTTGATTTCTTCGAATAAAATTTGTAAACACTATTACCAAATTTTCGTTAATGAAACTTAAATTTGTCTATTATATTCACAAGTTTGGCATAAGTATGGTAAAATGTTAATGTATAACATTGAATAAAGTTGAATACAAGGTTTGGCCGAAATTTAACAAAACTTTACGTTCGAATCATTATCGAACATTCGGTAAAAATGTTCCTATGTGTAAAAACGTTCGAGCAAAATAAAAATATTTTTACGTAATGTAATTATGGAAGCCCATGAACAGTAATTTATTAAACCTACGAATTAAGCTACGAACACATTCGAACTTCTTGTACTTACATAATTACGAATGAATTCATTTATTTTTACTTATTATACTCGTTATATACTAAAAATTGGAAAGACTATTGAATAAAACTAAAACGATTTCGATAACAACTTAATACTGTTAAAAATATTATATTGTTACTAATATTTCGTAGATAAATGATAATTTATTATTGATTATACTTGCGATAGGATCTTAATTATTGATAAATATAATAAAAACTGAAATATTTATTATGTAGTATTGAATTTTAAATATAAATAATGAAATATTCTTCGAATAAAAGTGGTTGCCAGTTTACATGATTGGCCAACAAGTCTGATATTTGTTACTCTTTATGATTATCGGATCGACGCACAACCAACAGTGCACGCATTGATGTAGTTATCACACAAAGAATTCCCATACATGTAAGCGCTCAACACACGTACTTCCCAATCAAGGAACTCGGGGTCGCGATGACAAGAAGTGCGAGAGAGACAGACACAAAAAGAAAGAGAGCGGCCGGCCGTTTCAAAACGAGCGCGACTGGTAGCTCGCTCGTCCAGTGAAGGAATTATCTCAGATACGTCAACAAGTGCACGTTACATTGCGATAGATAAAAATATTCTTGTCAAACAGCAAACAAAGACAGCCGTTGCCACGTAAAAAATTACAAATTCGTGTTGATTAGTCAAATACTTTTTTTTCCGTTCTGCAAGGTGAGTATCTTAGATGCATACATATCGAGACGTGAAATGAAACAACAAAGTATATATAGCTATACGTGCTTTTTGTCTGTGCTCTCACGGCTTCGTGCCAAAATATTGAGAGTTAAGGCATGCGCACAAGCTGTATATACTTGCTCCAATGCATCTTTGTTTGTGCGGTAGTTTTGTTCGTGATAAAAACTACAAATATACTTGTTCAAGTTTTATTCATTTCCGAATTTTCATGTGAAGGCAGCACGTCGAGAACAGTGTAAAACTTTCACTTATTTCGACACAATATCTTTCTCCAATTGAAGGAGTTGTTGTCGCGAAGCAGAGTAGAGAGTAAGTGTTACGAGCGTATAGTTTACGAAACCGGTCTTTATCTTGCAGTCATTTTCTGCGAATGTTTGAGTGCGCATTCGGCCTGATCTTGCTATCTGTCAAATCTATTTTGTGATTAATAAAAATTTTCTGTATCGTACGTCGCCATACGAACTTTCAGCTCTCTTATAATCTCGTAATTACATCTATCACTTGTACTCAAATAACAATTATTTAACTTTAACATCTGTTTGTGGCATCTCTTATTAGATAAGGAAGTGGTGTGTCACTGCAATAATTACACTTTTTTTTATCAATTCAGAACGAACAAATATGTTGTATCCTTGTAGTATTTTTTAAAACATCAATTTATGTTTGTCAAGGAAAACTGTTGCATTATTTTACATTTTCATCAGAAAGTAATGTACTTATAAATTTATTAATTTTTATCAGTTACAGTCAATGGTAAAGAAATGTCCAACTTTGCTGAGGTATGCATGATAATTTTATGTTCAAAGTTTCTTGTGGACTTTACGACTGATAATTACAATTTTTTTAGCTTGTTCAATCTACTCGAGATGTCTTTTATACCAATAAAACTCGGCCAATCGAATTTAGGATCAAACAGCTGAAAGCAATGAAAAAGTTAATAGAAGAAAACGAAACAGAACTGAGTACTGCACTAAGTAATGATTTAGGTCGAGTAAGTCATTTTACAAATGATTTTATTCCTATTTACTTTAATGTTTAAAAGTTTGACTTGAATGTTTTAGAGTAAGTTCGAAAATTATGTCCTTGAGATTGATTTTACTCTCAACGAATGCATTCATATGCTTCACAACATAAAAAAATGGTCTGCTCCAGAAAGGGTAAGTTTTATTAATTATAAAATTAGATTATTAGCATTCAATCAAGATTGTAATAAAATGTGAAATAAATATAATCAACTATAATTTATATGATATTTTAGCCACCAAAAGGAATCGTTAATCTTCTAGATGATGTAGTTATTTACAAAGAACCGTATGGAGTAGTTTTAGTAATAGGTGCTTGGAACTATCCCCTTCAGTTAACATTATGTCCAGTTATTGGGGCTATTGCTGCTGGAAACTGTGTGATTATTAAACCATCTGAAGTGTCTGGGGCTGTGGCAAAAATAATTGCTGAACTTATACCTAAATATTTGGATAATGTGAGTAAATGTGTATTTCCAAGGATATACAATTTTATAAAGATTTAAAAATAAATTCATATTCTAGGAATGTTATAAAGTAGTAGTTGGTGGAGTTGCAGAAACAACTGAACTTCTCAAACAGAAGTTTGATTACATTTTTTATACCGGTTCTACTACTGTAGGACGTATAGTCAGAGAAGCGTCAAATAAATTTCTAACTCCAGTAACACTAGAACTTGGTGGCAAAAGGTATTTTTTTTATGATAAATAAATTAATATCAGTGAACACAATACTAATTTTATTTCACAATTCATAATTATGTTATAGCCCTGTTTACATCGATGGTACATCTGAAATGCCTGTTACAGTCAAAAGAATCTTGTGGGGAAAATTTATAAATGTTGGACAAACTTGTATAGCTCCAGACTATATTATATGTTCGAAGGAAGTACAAAATGTTTTTATCAAGGAAGCAAAAATAATTATGAAAGAATGGTATGGTGACAATCCAAAAGAAAGTCCAGATCTTTGTCGTATAGTTAGCGACAGACATTACCAGTAAGTTAATACTCATAAACTTACTACATGCCAAATGAAAATTGATAAAACTAAAAACGGTTACATTTGATATTTTAGACGCTTAGTAGGTTTTCTTACGAATGGTGAAGTAGCTATTGGAGGTCAAGTAGATGCATCTCAAAGATATATTGCACCAACAATTCTTATAAATGTTAAGCTGACAGATCCTGTGATGAAAGAAGAAGTTTTTGGACCAATACTTCCTATTGTGAATGTTGAAAATGCTTATGAAGCAATCAAATTCATCAATGAAAGGTAATACTCTGATTATTATTAAAATCATATGTGCAATTATATAATTATAAAGTAATTTTTTAGAACTTAATTATGAGTAACTTCTATGTTTTTAATTAATTATAAATATACCTGCATCCTATGGTACCAAGCTTTATAGATGATATTAAAAAAAATTATGTAATCTTTCTCTACAGTATTGTTGCAAAAGTATTTCTAAAGTACGTTCTTGTTTTTGTTATTATTATTTTCAATATTAGCCCTTATTTAGTAAGAGTCAATTTCGCTTCAAATCTAATTAATATTATCAATTATTAATATTTCATTAAATTAAAAATTGTACTTTAAGACTTCAATATATTTTCAAACAAACTGTTTTACATTGAATTCAGTTCTTTTTGAATTCAAATCTTAGATTATATTATATTATTATTTTATTATACTATTGCAATAGTGTCTGAACTTATGAAATATACCAGCAAAACTATATTACATCTCAATGTTTTTTTGACAAAAACATTTATAGGCATGAATTTTGTTACTTAATTTTTTTTATCTTTAATATATTTTACTACAAAAAGAAAAATAACTGTTTTATAATACAGAGAAAATCCACTAGTACTATACGTTTTTACTAAAGATAAGGCAGTTCAAAAATTGTTTATAAATCAAACTAAATCTGGTTCTGCTGTTGTCAACGATACAATGATGCAATATGCCGGTGAGTTAGGGAAAAAATATTTGGTGATGGTTAATTGCTTACTTGGAATGCTGGAATTTAAAAATGTGCTTGAATTTTATATTTGGAAATAAAAAAATTATAACAATGTCTGTGGTATAATTATTAGCATGGATGGATATTAGTCTTGATATATATATTAGTTATGTTAAAGTATCAGAAAACGGTTTTATATAAATCTAATTTTTAGATCGAATTAAATATCCATAAGTCATTTGGATCATCTCAAATGTATTGTTTTTTAATTTTATGTAATAAAATTGCATGTATGCTAATTTTTGTTCAGGGATAAGCCTTTAGCTTTCTACCTATTTAGTGAATCTGAGGAAAACATTAAATTAGTTATGCATAATACATCGAGTGGAAACGTTGTTATTAATGATACTATATTGCATATGACAGGTACGATATAAATACGCAGAAATTAGTCCAATTTATGTTTACAGAAGTAATTTATCAATTTGTCAAAAAATGCACGAACGCCATTTTGTACTTTGCTTAGTGTAATTTGAGCTTGCTTTGGAATTTAGCCATACAAAGTTCACTATATTGCATACAAATATGTCATAAAAATCCAGGTGTTATAACTGTATTTTCATTGTAGTTGATACCCTACCTTTTGGAGGCGTTGGAGCGTCCGGAATGGGAGCATATCATGGAAAATTGACATTTGACACGTTTGTTCATCAGAAAGGTTGCCTCATAAAAAGTTTCAATATTATCGGCGAAACTTTGGCTTCGTAAGTATTATTAGCACTTCACATATTTCCCTACCTTGTAACGTAAAATCTCATTAAAAACCTATTAAAAATGGCCAAGTTTATAAAAATATTTTCCAAATTAAGAAAATGTTCGGAAACTATGCTACAAATTGATCAATTGTTAATATTTTCATTTAATAATTTATATTTATATATATTGAAAATCCGTTCAATAACAATCAATAATTAAATAATTGAAACCAATTTAAGATTACATTTTGATAAAAATAATTGAAAAAAAAAAATTAAAGGTATTGGACTGGACGATTGCAAACAAGATCACTTGTTTAAAACTATTATTAATTGCTAAACTTTATATTTTTATAGAGCACGATACCCACCTTATTCTGATGCCAAATTGAAATTTCTCTCGTTGCTGGTTGCAAAAAGACCAGACATCCCCGGAATTCAATATTTGCCTCATTTAATGATGTTTGGGTTAGGCGTGGCAGCGACTTTTGCCGTCAAAGCCCTTATGAAGGTACAAAAGTCTGGAGCACGTTAATCATCATTTCATCACCGTACACTAATAATGTCAATTTTGAAGGCACAAATTCATGATGCGCTATAACAGTTCTTAACATTCATAAAATATAAATGCTAAGATTTCACCAATTGCTTTTCATTTGTTTAACAATTACAACAGTTTTTTTGTATATACTTTTATTATAATAGTAATATGGCTAATTTTGTTAAATTTTATACAGCAGTATTATGAAAACGTTGAGTTTAGCGAATCAAAAATTTATTATAAAGTATATATATGAAATGTTGATATATATCACGTACAGTTTTTGAACGCACACTTTAATTTTTTGTAACGTTTTTACTTTACAAAATAAAAAAAAATGATAAAAAAATCATTGTTGTTTGCTTCATAATTTTATTTATTTTTCTGTAGAATGTGCTTAAAAAAATCAGTATTTAAAATAATCTTTCTTGCATTAGTTCTAGAAAAAATTCATAAACGTAATACGAAAAATGAATTTTTCAGGGGAATCCGTATGGTGATGAGGTGTAGCATTGTGTAATTAGGAACGTCATTACACAAAAGTACTCAAGAATTTTTCTAAGCATATTTCTAGAACCCAGTCACGAATATTTTTGCAGATATGATTTTTGAATTTGGTAAAAAATTCTTTAGTTGCTATTATTTTAGGTTTTTTTAATTACTTTGCAATCACAAAAATAATTTGTGAAAATGACATCAATTTATAGCGTTTAAGTGAAACATCGCGAAATGCATAAATTCTATTAATTACTATCTTTTTGTGGAACGAAATGATTTTTAAATTATTTATCACTTGATAGTTTTCAATTTCAATCAGTCATTATATATTTTTTTAATTTTATTTATTGGAATATTAAAAAAATGAAATTCAGTAATATTTATTTTATGATTAAATCCTATTTAATTTTACCTAAAATAAGAGTGAACTATTGTATTTAATTTGTTTAGGATTTCTGCATAGAAGGTATATAAATGGAGTATAATTGTTTATGTAATTGTATAGTTATTGTAAAAAATGTAATCTATGTAAGTTATAAATTATATATATGCACATATTTCATACATCACAGATACCGTCATTTATTTTATACCTTTCTCCACTGCGTTGATAAAATATGTTCAGTTTTGGAAATTTTTACACTACAATTATTAAACTTAAGCAAAGAAAGAACTTACAAGAAACTGAGTGACATACAGTATACATACAACGTTAAATGTAGTAAGAATTTTCACGATGACTTGGTGCGCTTTTAAGCTCGTTTAATATTTTCAAATTCACTATTTAATTGTTTTCAATACTATTGTTAATGATATGGGGAGCATTCACATGCGTCAGTGATAAGGAGTGATGATAGACTTATTGAGCATTGTAATTATAAAACATAATCATATACGTAATAAAAGATGCCAAATCATAATTCTAAAGAAAAGAATCGTGTTAAATTATTTCGTGGTAGCAATGTGAAAAACTGATTAACCACGAACTGAAAGCATCGCGACGTGCTCGTCAACCTTTAAGGAGCTGTCACTTACCGATAAGTCGTAACGTCTTTCTGATAGATAATTTTTATATGCATATATAAAGTTTCAGCTCGATGCTACTGGTCCAGTGTGGATTTATGTCAGTGTTTTTTGTGATCAAACCAGTCGAGCTGCAGCAAAATGACAGGTTTGACTACTAATAATTACGTTGTCATTGTGCTTCTTGCTTTGGAACCGTGTCGATGTGCTAATATAAATATGACAGTGGGAAAAAATGTCCGACTTGTTTTCATGAAATATTGTTAACGCTCGTCTCATTACAAAATATCGGCACTGGACTCCCGACGTACAACTCTTAAAAATCAATGTTTTTGAAAAACAAAGTAGTCGAGAGGCGAAGAAAAACTTTTTTGAATAATTCATTCTGATTAGAATGTTCAGCGAAAACATAACGTTGCTGCCTATCGTTTGTTGAAGTGCCGACTCTCAATACAAGTGCTATTCCACGCGCGCGTGTCTAAAGATCAATCGTGATCTTTCATTTGACGTGTGTAATCGTTCGTCTATGAAATAGCGAAAAACATCCGCAGCAGTGCTTGGCTGGTACTGCTGGTTGTGGTGTGCGTGGAGGCGGGCAATTTCAACATTACCTCTCGCATAAACGAAGTGCTCAGGAACGATTCTTCAATGATGTTTTATGTCAAATGCTTCCTTGACCAAGGTCCATGTTCGGCAGTCGCTCAACTATTCAAAAGTGAGTTCCTTACTAGAAGTTGTTCACTACATTGAGCTTATCGCTTGAACAAATTAATCGTTTGAAATTGAACCTAAACATTGTTATCTTTTTCATTTTACCATGCATTGTACATAATTGTAAATATGGTTAACTGACCACATATTACTCTTTACCTTTTAAAACTTTTCTTGTAGTGCCATTTTCCAAGTAATTTAATTACTATTATTATCGAATGTTTATCAGGACTAATACCTGAGTTCATGTCAACCAACTGTGTAAAATGTTCGCTAAATATGAAGAAGCTTGTGTGCCAAATGCTCTTCAAAATGCAGGAAGAAAAATTCACTGACCTTTGGGGCGATTTTCTGGTTAAGTACGATCCAGAAGAAAAGTACCGAAACCAACTTAGCACCTTAATGGATTCCTGTCCAGACGAATCTGAAACCGACGATTGATTCAGCTTTCGATCGCATTATTCAACTATATATTATATTGTCCATTTTACGTTCATGATATTTACTTATTCACAATTTTATGTGCAAGATCTAAAACTCAATACGTTGATTCGTTAAATATATTTTTAAATAAAAACACTGATTGGTAATTATTAATTCACCTAATATTCACTTTCAGATATATTGTTGCAGGAATTCCGTATTTATACATTACTGAATTAACTGTACAATTGAATAATAACAAATGAATTGTTTCCTTTGCCTGGAAAAATATTTGCAAAATAATTTTAAAGCAAGGCAAGCTAGGATAAAAAAAAAACCGGAACATTGTTCAAGAGTTAATGATCTATGTGATCTAACTGTACAAAAATTGTGAACGTTTGAAATAAAATCTTAATTTAAATGACCCATTGAATCGAAACTCGTTCGATTTCAATATTCAATGATAGGAAATTGACAGAGAAGGAACGTGTATGCAAGGTCAGTAAAACGTATATTTCGAATGCATACAAACATAATTTTATTCAATTAACATGTATAAATAAAAAAAAACACTGAAAAACGAAAATACAATTAGAAAAGAAACGGCGGCAACGAAGGCAAAATAAAGAGTAAATTTTACTTAATTGATCACGCGCACGTACTCGCACATTTAAGAGCTAAGAGGACTCCGCGAATGAGAAAAAATCGACTCGCCTCTGGGCCGAGAAGCTACGCAATGACCACGTTCTAATATACTAATTACTCATGCGGCTCGCATGAATAATTGATTTGAGCTGGCGTCCGCCTTACCCGGTGTCATTGGGTCGAGTATTATTTCTCTAGACGTGGTTATGTCTGTAAACGAGTGGCACTACGCACCCGAGATATGGACGAAGAGTATTATATCTGACGTGATGATTATTTTACGGCGCGACCAGACGCGCCGACAATTTCGTATTCATTATGCTCATCGCGGGTAAACGGCTCAAAGGTTATTTGCTCGGATCATTCATTCAACTCTCTCTCTCTCTCTCTCTCTCCCTCAGGCAAACTTTGACGATTCAGCGAGAATTCACAAATGTTTCTTTTCATATTTCTTGATGAGATTGCTAATGACCAATGCCCACTTGTCGGGCTCGTTTTCTGTGTAGTACGTCACGATTCGCTCGAACATGTACTTCTGCCTGTCTGTGCATTTTCTGCATTTTGTGACTAGAGCTTCGGGTATCTTGTCTGCAAAACAAACGAAAGCAATTCATCAGCTGTCGTAAGGCAATTTTTCCTCGCGTTATGCTGTCAGTCGTATCGTGCATAGCAAGCTACCTCGCCAACCGATTGATTCAAACAATCTTTGTTAAAATCGCGAAGTGTTGTTGTAATTTTGAATTTGATCGCGCAGAATTTCAAATTTTCTTGCATCCGCGTTGAGGGAAAAAAATTCAAGCTTTCTTAATTAGAAACGATAAATTGTTGCCAGTTCTACAACGAATAATTTAATTTACGTAACAATGTTATAATGAACTGCGTAATGAATTGCTGAAAGAATTGATTTGTAAAGATATGTATAGTCATAGGTGTTATCCGAGAAATCAGTTTATCAATACAGTTGTTGGCTTCTGTTCCCGGTGACTTTCACTCGAATAAATTGACAGCATCAGAAAGATAAAAATAACTGAGTCGATAAAAAGAAACCAATTGTAAAAGCTTACCTTTGAAGAACTTGGCATCAGGAGTAAGGCAAGGCGCAATGTCCTGGAAACACTCGTAATACTGATTCCTTAGCCGATCGTTCTTGAGGATGCTGTCGACATCGACGAAATCATATTTATTCGAGTAGATCTCTTCGTCGGCGTGAGTGATGGTCACGAGGGCACAAAGCGCCAAGAGCAATAAAACTTTGACAACCATAGCTGTATGTGGTCAGTTGGTCCAGACGATCGGTCGAAGCGCGTTCGCGATTGCAACCGTAATGAATCTGCGATTGTAAGATCCAGCCGCTTTATATATACATCGCCTGAACCAACGAGCCGCCTGACGTCAGCATTTTCGTACCTTTTTTTCTCTTTCTTTTCCACGCAAATGGCGGAAGAAGTAACAAGTGCGCCTATTGCCATTGGCGCGAAGGATGAGACCGGGGGTCACAGTCACCGTTCAGGGTCATCGTGGTAGCTCGGACTTTAACATGCTTTATCGATCGTTACGCGGTTTCGCTTACTACCAGATACACTTGTCTCTCCTGGTATGTGGAATTCCAATGACTGGCCATGTCGCGTGCAACTGCTTCCTCACATGCGACTGACTTTTTCCGATACTTTTCGCGATGCTTCGATTTTTAGATAGCGATCGCTCAGTTTTCGCGACATTTTGCGTTTTCTTGTCAAATTTCTGCGATCGTGGATGGCTCATCATAAACGTCTCTATGACTTCCAAGGCAATCACTCGACCACGCGATCTTATGATCGATGAATCAATTATAATCGAACATTGATTGGTTGGTCTTACATAAGGTGTGTACTTCATCCAACATTCAACGCAAATACGTGAATTGCTGCAGCGTCGAGCATCACGCAGATTTCGAAATTATCTGAATAATTATAAAGTCATTACAGAGTAATTCGATTTTTAACCAAGAGGCTTTTACAGTATCAAATATTTTAGGTACAGAATGAATGTATTCGGAATACAGTGGTAGTAAACATATTTGACACTCTTATGTCACTTTATAGCAAAAATACTACAAACAAATTTGAATTATGCATCTACAATATTTTACGCAACTGTGGATTTTTTAGTTTAATGCGTATTATAGTGGGAATTTCCATATGTGAAACTGTCGAAACGACCAAGGAAAGACAACTTTTAAAATAATTAATTCAAAACCATTTATTATTGTTACTAGATTTCATCTGGATGTTTTTTCCAGCAAAAATTTCTTCAATAGTCTACTAAAATAACTTTAATAGTATTTTGTGTTATATAATCATGTTATGCAGAGATCAAAGTTTCAAGTAACTTATCTTCTAGCATCTATCTTCTTCGAACATTATGGCTTTCTTTAAATATTATTTCAGTCACGACTCTTTCAATCAATCATATCAATCAACTACCGTTAATTAAATAAGATATACTTGAACGGTTCTAGCATCGATTAAAGTAGAATAAGATTTAATGATTCTATTATTTTAAATAAAAACTTATAATTTTAGTCAATAAAAATTTCGGTTAGCAAGAAATTTCGGACAACGTAAAATTAGCAACCATCGCACATAGTTCTTTATACAGGTAGGTATTCAACCGATGTAAATGTAAATGTAGCTAGATTCACCGACATTTTCTCTATAACAGTAGCCTTTGTGAAAAAGGAGCGATACTTCTTTGTTCTTCCTACGCTTTCAAATTGTACAAAGATTAGTAAACTTAACCACTAGTGAAGTTCCAACTTGTTGAACTATATTAATATTTATCTAACTCGTGTCGCAGACTAAGTTCTTTGAAAATATTTATACAATCGTTAAGCTCTGGCTTGAAAGTAAACAGTCGAATTTTCCGGAAATTTTCAGTTCGTCAATTATATATTTTAAACAAAATTGAAAGATTTGTTGCTACTCAAACGAAAAATTGTACCATAAAATGTCCTATTGATTATTTTCTCGGTAAAAGAATTTGTTGTAATTAACATGAATGAGCTGATTTTCCAGACGTGAATCACGACATGTTGACGAACGAAAGAGGCTACAGATCTCGCTGCGTGTTCGCTGCTGCTTAATCGACGTCACGGTGTCCGGAAAATTCTCCATCCAAAAAAAGCTGGTCAAAAAACAGTCCGACCACGCACAACATCCGCAATGAACAATAGCTAGTGCAAACACTCCACGGCCGCAAGTAGTCACTCGCGCCCCTAAAATATATATTTAAGAGCCGTGACTTGCGCTGCGAGCGTGGATATTTGCAACGATTCGTCAAATTTCATGCACTTAGCTGGGTAAACCGTCGATTAGACGGCATCCGATACTGCGCGCAGTCTATATATCCATCCATCGGGAGCGCAGCAGCGTGCCAGAGCGTCTTCGCGAGCGGACGACCCCACAAGAGGAGAGTAAAGAAAGCGAGAGCCCGAGTCAGGGAGGTATACTACCTAGCATGAGTCCGAAACGATCGCTGATCGTGGCTGCTGCGGCCATCCTGCTGCACGTCGTCGGCGTTGCTGGAGCCGACAAGAAATACGATTCCAAATACGACGACCTCGACGTCGAGGCGATCCTCCATAACGATGCCGAACGCAACATTTACTATGCCTGTTTCATGGATACTGGACCCTGCCCTAATGAGGCTGCCATCTTTTTCAAGGGTGAGTATCTGTGATTCAGTCGTTGCTCTTGTGTCGATTTGCTAGACTATCGGTTTGCCTGCCATCTCCTTTGTCAGGTTAATTATGCACAGGAAAACCATTCAATAATTACGTTAATCGGTAGATGAAATTTGTGCACTAAGAGGTGAGGAAGGGGGGAGGGGGGAGGGTAATTTCGCGCAGAGGCTGACGCAACTGTTTGCAAACTAGTTTTGCTCGTGTTTCACACATTACTGTGCAAGACAATTTCAAAAATAGTCACTTGAAAGGGCACCTTGCCCATGGATACAATAAAATCAATAAATAAATGAAGGAGTAGCGATAAAAAAAATTTTTAAGCGAAATCGAAGGTTAAAATAGAAATAAACGATATAATAATCATATTCACAGGTCATGCGCCGGAGGCTGTAGTCACGTCTTGCAAATACTGCACCCAAAAACAATTGGAAATGTTTGAAAAGATAGTTAGTTGGTTCGTTGACAACAGTCCTCAAGAATGGAATGCTTTAATCGAAAAAACTATCAATGATGCCAGGAAACAAGGACTCAACTTTTAAGCGATGTGAAGAAAAATAATGTAAACTACGCCTTAATTTTAAGATCAATACTTAGCGACGCATGCCTCATTTTGTAAATTTCTGTCGGTTTACCACCAGTATTATTATTTATACACGCTTATATATTATCAATAATAAATAACAAATAAGGGAACTGAATTATCTCTGTTTATAAAATTTTATATTTTCATAAAACCCTTTCAGTTCTAGGAAATTTAAAAGTTACAATTATCAAATTGAAAAATATCTTTTATATTACTTTCTTATTGAAACTTATGAGAACACTCAACATGGTAATCTGCAATCTTCACTAATTTTTATTCAATATTTGCCATCCCTATGTAATGAAAATGATTACTTCAGGAAATTATACCATCATTCAGTTTAATTGCCCCTTCTCAAATTACGTAAGTGTCTTCGTACGTGTTTTCTGACTTCTACATTTTCTTAGAATTAGTAGATAGCACTATCTTTATTTAACTTTTTTATACACAATATAAATATATTCAACAAATATTTTTGCAAATTTGTGTCTTTAATGTAATTAAAAAAAAGTAATATTCTATATGAATTCTAATTTGTCGAGTACATTTGATTAAATTGCATTTCCAGAGAAAACTACTGCTTAGTAAAATAAAAAATTTGACTGAATATTGTTAAATTACTCACTTCTCAAACTAAAGTTATTTGCAATGCAGAAGATTGTAGGTTTCCTAGTCTGATAAACATTTGTAATGTTAGTACAGTTGAATATTTCTACATTTATGAGATATCGAATCTAATCACAACGATGAAATTATAACTTGAGAAAATCTATATTGATGTGAGGTAAAAAAGTGAATTAGTTATCATTTAAAAATAAAATAATATTAAAAAATTTCCATTTACAAATCTGTCAAAATATATAGAAAAAATAGATGACTGAATATTCCTTTCTATTGGGAACTTTATGGTTAATGAAAGGATAATATCTTAGCCAAAGTAAAATAAACAAAATGTTCTAATAAAACAATGCTTATTATTTTATTTTATTTTATTTTTTGTTAGAAAACACAAGCCACTAGGAGTACTTAAACTACGAAGCCATTTTCCTCAAAAGAGCTTTCTTTTGGAAATCGCTCACGGCTTTTCGAATGATAGCTTCCCAGCCTTCACGATCATGTTCATCAAACCAAATTGCTATTTTATTGAAGGCCTCCTTTTGTTTATCGGTACATTTACGGCATTTTGTCACTATTGCCTCAGGGATACGTTCTAGAAGAGTAAAATTTATAAAAATGTAGGGTGCGTATCACGCAACTATTGATTTAGCCGTATTAATTTATAATTTTAGCATACATTTTTCTTTTTATATTATGAAAGTTGAGTAATAAATGTAAAGTAGATTTTACAACTTGATCGACATTGTCATAATCAAATAAAAGTTTATAAAAAAATTAAAGAAAAGTGGTAGAGTATGTGTTTGAAGAAAATATATAATAAATGTTAATGCTAATAATTCCATAACAAGTATGTATGAGAGCGAATCAAACCTTTGAAGAAAATAGCATCCGCGGTTACGCATGGTGCAGTATCCAGGAAGCACTTGTAATACTGATTTCGAAGTCGGTCGTTCTCAAGAATAGCGTCGACGTCGAGATGATCGTACTTGTCAGGGTAACGCTCTTCCTCCTCGGCGTACGAACTAACAGCCAGACATGCCACGAAAATTATCAAGTACTTTGATTTGGCCATGTTAACTGGAGCACCTTATTCTTGCAAAGCTACGACAAAGTTTACTAGTAGATCGATGCAAGATCGATACTATATATACTTAGCTGCCTTGTAAGTAATCTATCAACTGATGTTTCATAGCAGGAAAGAGGATGGAAGGAGGCAGCAATGACAAGGTGTTAAGTTTTTTTATTTTTTTGGTGCACGCGAGGCTAAGTGATACATAGACATGATGCTAAAAAAATTCTGTGTCCGTGCTCGAGATCAGACTGTTGTGATAGTATTACGTCGAGATACGGGTAGAGTAGCAATCAATTAATTTTCTATCGTTATAGGCTATAACGTATTTGAACTCAGCCAAACGAGACGAAAAAAGGATCATTTCTAAGCGTGAATCTTAAATTATGTGTTTGCTAATTCTCGAGTTTTTACGACTCACTGCATCCACGTTGCGACTAATCGATCAGGAACTGAATCCTAATTAGCCAGAAAATCGGCATTGATTTCAAAAAATACTATTTGATCTTGTCATTACATTGTCGATCAAAGGACAAATAAAATTATTTTTCGCAATGTCATATTATGAATTAATATAAAATCATTACTCATCAATTAACCATTGATATTTATTGTTATCCCATTTATATTACAAATAAATAGAAACATGTATAATATTTACAATAATGATTAATTTAAGAGTATTTGTCCATACTCTCTCTATTTAATTACATATTTTTCAGAGCATGTCTTGAGAAAGCAACGTTTATACGTGATTTAGAAAATAAATTATGAAAAATTGTTACATTTTACTTCCTTCTGGAAGAAGCCTTAAAACGGCGCTTGATTAAGAAAATTTTCTTTTTTGACCATATTTTTGCCTTTTGTTTGTTTTTATTCTATATATACATTGTGCATCTAATTATAAAAGTTATTGTTAAATTTCATCTTAATTGAATTAATAAGAAGCTTATAAATATTTTTCAAGTTTCCATATTTTTTAAGTAATTTTGTTTATCATAATTTTCAAGTTAATTTTGTTCAAATTTAGCGTTCACCCTTGAAATATGAGTTTGGTTTTGTATTTTCCTTACTTTGGAAGTTGCGGTATAATTTTAGTACATTACGATACAAGTGCGGGAAAGTAGATTCTAGTCTCGTGTAGCGTTTACGCCCGAGCGAAGCGAGTATTTTTTGATACGACGTGTGGAAAGTGCGATTTTCAACGTACGTTTTTTGCCGAGCATGCGAGAAAAACGCACTTTCCGCACGGAGATAAATACAAATTTATTTATTATTCAAAAAACAACCCGAAAATATCATTTTGTTTTCTATATAAAGTATTTTGTTTCGTACGTACGTATTTTCTGTGTATAATTATTTGAATAATGTAAGTAGATATTTTAGCTACCTAACTATGGATTGTATAAATTACGGAATTCCCTATATCACAAAGTTATTTCGTAATTGAACTCTAATAGCGAATTATTCTATTTACTAAAAATTAAAATTAAATTTTTTGAAATAATTATGTTGCGCTCAAACTGAAAGTGGAAGAATTTGCCAACATGCTGTTTGCCGTTGAATCAGGTAGCATTTAGCCAATGTAGCTAGCCAAATTTTTTAGTACTGTTCATGCTTTTTTTATAAAACCTTTTTGTGTATAAGTAAGTCTTTGACGCAATATACGTGTTTTATTATTTCTATTTGCCAATTATTATTCCAGTCATCAAGTTTCTGGTGAATCACGACTTGATTAATTGAGAAATATAACGAATGCCTTTCCAAATATCAGAGTCGATCAGAAAAAAAACTGCGAAGAAGGTACAAGATTAATTTTTATTCCTTATTGCGTTGTCAGGAGCATCATAATAACCCAATTATCAAAAATTACAACATCTACTATAAACGTTAAAAGTCAGCCATTTACTATATCACTATTATTATTACGTTATTGATTTGATTTTTATTCATAAACATGGAAACTAGATCATCAAAGTTTTATAATGACTTAAAATCTTATATTTATTTTATAATAGGAAACTCCATTAAAAACTGACATCATTAAAATGTTGTTATTATATGTGGCAGGAATATTGAAACTTTTCAGCCAACATTACTCATTTGACGAAAATAAGACTTCCTAGCATACACATATATTTTTCAATATATTTTAATTACACATACACACGCGCGCACAATAAGTCTCAATAAAAATATCTCTTTACTGTACATGTACGGAACTATAGTATATTATATATCATTTAAATTAATCAACTTCAGATCTACCATAAAATATTTGCTTTTATATATTTTGAAGAAGAACGAAGATGCTCATAGAAGAACAATTCATACTCACTGCATGCAAGGTTGTCATGTACGCCGATTACCAAAGTCCTGAGTATAATAGCACAATAACACAATTTTAATGGTTAATGAAAGTAAATCACTGTCTACATAATATTTTTCTAAATAATTCAAATGTCTGGGTGAGTAATATAAAATTAAATGAGGATATAAGGCAAAATAATTAGAAAAAAATTCAATTGCAGTAAACGTGACTATGTCACCTATCAATTTATCAAGGAGAAGTATAACATTTTTTATGCAGTTTCTTAATCCTAAAAAAATAATCTTAAAAAAAAACGTCAGATGTAGGAACCAATGCAAACTACTGTGAATACTTTATCGTTGGCCTTGAGTTTATGAGCCTATAAGGAGATGACAGGTGACCTATAAATAATAAAAAAATGAAAATTTCATTATTTTGTTTATATATGCGTATTTTAATCAAGTAATTTTTCACCGCTGAGTATAGTGTTAATTTTAATTGTTTGTATTCAATTACAGTATATTTTGCGCATACTTCATTTCTGTAATATTACTTTATATATTATACTGCAGAATTAGAGTACACATATATTCAAAGTATAGTTATTATTATTCTGAAAATTATTTTCTAGTACTATCGTATATTAATATTAAAATTTACAAATTTTTTTATGTATTTGATAATACTGCGTCAATCATGCAGTCATTTTTCTCAAAGTCAAGTTTATATAACATATCCTTCTTACTCACCACTGGCAAAAAGAAATCAAAGTTGACATTATTCTAGAATTTGAACATAATTTAAAGCAAAAAAATTATTAATTACATATGTACGAAACACCTGTTACATTTAAGTAGAAAAAGATGCGAACTCTCTTTTTTCATAAGTTGATCAAAATAAGAACACATCTTTACGTATTTATTACGAGTTTTTATAAAAATATATTTCAAAATGAGTTGACGATAATCAATACTTTAATTAAATAACCGCAATAGATCATCGTCTAATAGTTCGACTTTTCGAATTTTAGCTATTATCATTATTATTATTATAAAAATAAATTAATGCTTAATTTAAAACAAATTGACACAATGAAAAAGAAAAATAGCATTTCCATAACTGGAAGAAAAAAAAAATTTTTTTACACTATCGCACATTAAGCGTTACATTTAAAGTGAATTTAAAGAGACACACGTCCTTATGCCAATCCAACCTTCATCGATATTTGAACTTTCAAAGACTTGCATGTACCAAAATATTCGTGACTTTTCTTAATGAAGGTCAGTCGGTCACTATCTCTAAAAGATGTAAAATTTTACCTTGCGAACCTAATCCCGCAGAAACTGGTTAATCACTACTAATCGTATTATGCAATTTACATAATATGACAAATGAATAAACCTTGATTTAATTTTTATACATTATTATTAATATTTGGTTGAAGGCAACTATCTAGTAATTATTGGAAAAAGTTAATATTATTCAGTATATATAAAACAAAAATTATATTATTTGAATATTAATAAATAGCAATTGTTCAATTGCATAGAAAATTAAAATATTAGCATTTATTTCATTATAAATATAAATCTTATGCTTGACCGAAAAATATTTATTTCAGAGTATTTTGCATAAGTGTAGTTTCTTTTTATTTTAAATATATCAGTATTTATATGGAAATATTCACAAAATACGATGGATTTACACAGTAACGTAAAAAAAATGTTTACCGTAAGATATTTCGGTGATTCGGATTCCACCTTAAACTATAAGTCCAATCATGATGCATGTAAATAAATCGTCCTCCCGCACCAAAGAGGCAGATTTAATCACTCATGACTATAGGGAATCAAGACTAGTGCGTACAGATACCTATAGTGTACCTCTGCAGCGTTCCACATAAAAATAGTTTTTAAAGTAACAACAACAACAACAACAATAATAATAAAGATGCTGTCTATTGATTATAGTTGAAAATTGAAGGTTTCCAATAAAACAAGTATCTAAAAATTAAAATTTTAAAAAGAACTTGCAACAATTGTTAAGATTTAACAATTGTTAATTGTGAAATTAAAGTTAAGTGTTTAGTCTGATAATCCAATAAAAATATAAAATAGGTGAACTCTTTATCATTCAAATAGAGAGCCATATATTGCATGTACTACAGAAGCAAACAATATTAATAATAATGCATTTCTAACATTTCTTTGGTTTTTATTTAAAAAAATTATTGTTTAATCTATACTTACTTAAAAGTTCTTAGAATATTTTAAAGTTCCGTATAATCAGCTTACGACATTTTCATGTATTTGGAATACAGACATTGCTTCTCTACGAGTAAGTCTCAAGAGGGCTGCATAGCATGTATTGATTAAACTACTATTATTGATGTACATTTACGCGTAAGTAAGCTATCTATTATGAACGTATGGCTATACAATAAGAGAAATACTGTGATGGAAGTTATTGTATGTTATAATAAACGAAACTGTATATTTTTCCCAACCCTTGTTTAAATATGAATTTCATTTGAATATTAAATGCATCATGAATGCGCGTCTCATTTCAACTCATCATATAAGCAGCTTGAACTTTTACGCTTAAGTTGAAGGTAACAATACTTGATAAATACAATAAATAAAAAAATATTATCATTTCATATATAAAAGTTATTATTATCAAACTTATTTTTCTTCAATAATATTTACTGTAACTAGATACCTTTTATATATATATTGTGTTCGCCGGTGTAGAAAGGTTAGCAATAATACAGGGGCATATTATTTAAAAATCTTATTTTATAATCTACGAAAATCATATTCATTGTAGACATAAACTATTTTGTTGACAAATATTAAAACAACGATTCTTTCGAGGAGTAACATTTTTTTAATGTTACTTATATCTTGCGAACATATGTCTAGCCAAGTAAGATAACAAAGTGTGTTGTATGTTTATATGTATGATGCAGAAAATTTAAGAGTACTAGGTTAATTTTATTACGTGCTAATATGTATATCTAAAGATAAAATAGTTCTTTCATATATTTTCTAGTGCTTTTATAACAAGAAAAAAGCTAAGATGCATAAATCTGGTATGCAATATTTACTTCTAAATATTAACTGGACAATGGTAATAATTATACTTATTCCACAAATAATGCCAATCGTAAGTCAACGAATAAATCAAAAATTTACTTTAAATTATTTTGCTGAAAAAAAAGTACAGCAAATTAGCATGTTTGCTTGTTGGAATAACGCAGGTAATGAAAATGAAGTAGAGAAATCTCTAGTAAAGGGTGTCTACTTACTTTATTGTGGTCTTTACAGATATTTTGAAATATACTAAACACATTATGAAAAATACTCAAATGTCCTATCATGCTATTGAAGATATTTTCAATATTAGAAGCTTTTTAAAATCTGATTATTATAAAATTGGCGTGGTTCTTGATTTTGATTGTCCAGGAAGTCAAGATATTTTAAAGCAGGTGTTATTGTATAGTACATTATGACACTAATGCGAAAAATAATTTTACCCTCGTGTAGACGCCTGCCCTCATAAAAAGCGAGAGTGAAGAGAGCACACGAGAATGAAATCACTTTTTCGCCTATGTATCGAACTTTATTTTTTGATATGACGTGTGAGGGACAAGATTTTAAACATGCTCGATTGCTCGAGCACAGGTAAAGTCCAGTCCCTACGCACGAATTGTCGGTAATGATTTTTATTGTTATTTTTCAAACACCTATAATTTGATTTTCTTGTGTAACATATTTGTAGAACAAATATTAACGGTGATAAGAAGAAAAACTAATAAATTTCTGTTAAAGTTTTCAGCTGCTAATTTACTATTCAATGAATCATATGTATGGCTTACTGTTACGACATTACCTGAAGTGCCAACGATAATTCTACGCGAACTTCCGCTTAGAGTTGATTCGGAATTTGTAGTAGCTTTGGCTTATAAAGATACATATGTCCTTTACGATGTTTACAATTACTCTTATCGTCACGGCGGTAAACTTAACATCACTAAAATGGGATTTTGGAAAGAAGAGAGTGGATTAAAAAATTACTTAACCCAATATAAATTCAAGAGACGTCAAAATTTACATGGAATAACGTTGAATTTTTCTACGATTGTACGTCTTGTTAATATGTTTACAAATTTATTTCAAACATAATCGATTTTATTTCTTTCAGCTCACGAATAAACCAGAACCCGATTTGGAGACATACCTTGCAATTCCGAAAGATCGTCACCTAGATTCAGTGACACGTTATCATTATGGTTTAGTACTGCATCTTCGTGACATATATAATTTCTCGTAAATTGCAACTCGTTATAATACACTAAAACAAATAAATACATATTTCAAAACTAATATATGTTGATTAGAATAAACTTAAAATTAGATACCTCTTGGGGTTATCGAAATACTAATGGAACTTTCAATGGAATCATCGGTGACATGATTAAGGGCACTATTGATGCTAGTGCTTGCTATTTTCAGCAAAGAGAGGAAAGAATAGGTTTGGTCGAATATACCGTTCCTACATACGGTTTGAAGTAAGTTTGTATATAAAATGAGTTGTATTATTTGTTAACACAATTTTCTTCCTTTAATTAATAGGCCTCATATGTTTTTTCGACATCCTAAAAAAAATACTTTAAGAAACCAATTTTTGAAGCCGTTAGAAAAAAATGTCTGGATGTTATCGTTGAATATTAGTATTGTGACGGCTAGCCATAACTTAGTTTTTTTTATATTTAATTATTAAATATGACGAACGGAGTGGGAACCTTCCTGATTTCCCACGATGAAAACGCATTCGAAATATAAACTTTGATAGTGGCCCGAGCCTGCGTACTCAAGCTTACAATCAACGCTCTATCCTGCTTTGTCCCACACGTATGTGTTGACAGGGGCCTACGATCATCGCGTATACATCGTGAAGTGTTATCACGCCGATAATGGAAGGGGACCATAAAAATGCAATCTATCTTTTTTTTTCCCACCGATTTTTAAGAAAATATCCGTAATATTAAATAGATTTTCATCAATTTTGTAAGCCATTATAATGCGCACCTTTTTGTCACCGAATAACCAATAAATAGAACAATAATGTATTTTATAATAAATCGTAAAAGGTTTGAATTTTTCTGAATGTTCATAATAGTCACTATGTATCGTCATAATTAATTAAGTTTAGTACAATTATGTATAAGTAATTATAAGCTATAGCGTTACTCTTGCTCTTAAAAGTGGCACTCCGAGAGCCATCTCTGGAGAAAAGGGCCCAAGTTAAAAAGGGACCGCCCTTTCTCTCTCTGAAAATTCACGCCCACAGACCAATAAAGAAATTCTGGATATGATTAGAAAATTTCCGACCAATACAAAATTTAGCCGTTATCGCTTCATGGGCCTGAGGAAAGGGATTTCCACCCAACCACCCACGGCTTATAAAAAGCTCTGTACAAGGCTGGAGAGGAAGTTAAGTGAAGTTAAGCTCAGTTCAGTCAGTTAAGTTAGAGGAAGTCAAGTTCAGATAGAGTAAGTGCGGAGTGAGCACCAGGAAGTCCGTAATAAGAAGTTTTTACTAGTGAGCGAGTCCCGGAGCAAGCATCAAATCACCCAACTATATTCAGAACATATAGAGAGAGAAAGAGGCCAAAGAGCAGAGAGAGAACGCAACATTAATAATAACTAAATTGATAAAATAAAAGTAAGTAAAATCTTAAACCTGGCTATCCTTTTCTTTCTTTAAGTAATCCGCCTTTCTTTTGGAAATTCATTAAGCGTGAGTCTGGTGAATTTCCATTAAAGTCCCTTAAGAACACATTAAGCGTGAGTCTGGTGTGTTCGTAATAACATTTGGTTATTACATTCCCCGTTAGCATACAGTTTTCTCAACGCAACAATATTGCTCGTCCCGGCTTGTGTGTTACACGATAGCCAAATCAGAGCAACCCTGAGTTTACGCTTGCTCCAAGCGTACCTGAGAGTGACCCCGACGTCACAGTATATTCTTTTGGATTTTTTTAATAATTGTTGTAAAAGTTGATGATTATTATCAATCTCATAGAGATCAAATGTGGCTTGCGGATGCCTCATCAGACTCCACGATTACAATTGTCGCAGCAATATCGCAGCAAGGTAATCTATATATTTTTCGATTAATTATATCAGCGTCATTACAACATAAAACTAATATCAACTTTTGGTTTATAAATAAAATAGGATCAAGTATTGAACCAAATTTATTCTCAGGAAGAATAGCATTTCTCGTGCTTTTTGTGTGGTCGCTCATGATGTTTCAGTTTTATTCAGCCAGCATAGTGGGTTCATTATTAGCACCACCAAAAAGATTTATTAATACTCTTCTGGATCTAGCAGACAGCGATCTAGAAGTTGGGTTTGAAGATATTGCCTGGCAGCGCAATGCCTTTGCAGTTTGTATTGCGAGCCCACACTTAACATTATAAATTTAATAATTTTTTAATAAATTTTGTTCTTTTTCCATTTTATTATTGGTTTTTCATGTACTGTAAAAAGGGTTTGATTGTAACGAATTTTGTTAATTTTAGACAAAAGATGACCCGGAAACAGTATACTTCTACAAGAAAAAATTTTATAGTGTACAGAAAAGGAAACACTGGGATCATCAAAAAAACGGCATGCTGGAAGTGAGCAAAGGAGGCTATGCTTTTAGCAGTGAAACTGGATCAGCTTACCAAATAATCGAAGTAAGAAGGGAAAATTATATATATTGGATTAACTTTGAATTAACTTCCTTTAATCCCGTTTCGTACTCAGGATACTTTTACACAAGAACAAATATGCGATGTAGTCGAAGTACCATTAATCGAGCCACAGTATGTTAGTTTGATCATGAGTAAATATTCGCCATTTAAGGAAATGTTTATTTATGGGTAAATGTATTACACCTTCAAACAGTACAATAACTCATATTTTTAACTGAGTATCTAAAAATAGATTGCGTCAAATGGTACAACATGGACTGGTGGACCATCTAAAGAAAGTATGGACTCACCGGCGTCCACAGTGTCCTGAGAGTTTTCGCTCACAACCATTACCGATTGGATTGATGGAATTCAGTCCAGCATTATTTTTGATCGTATTAGGTTCAGTTGTAGCTACGATAATTCTAGCAGTTGAAAAGTTTCTTATGATCTCGTCACAAAGAAAAATCTTAAAAGCTGAAAAAGTTGACAGTCAGAGCAAGTCTACAACTTCATTAACTACATCACAACTTGAAGCTTAAAAACAATTTTAATAAGAAAATGAAAAATAGAATAATAGAATTATTTATTAGTAAATTGATTATAATAATACATTATCGTAAGTTAGATCTACAAAAATTAGCTTTAGAAAAGTATCCAAGCTGAAAAAACGTAGTAATTGATATTTATGTGCTAACTTTTTAAAAGTATCATGCAACATAATAAAAAACATTTCTTTAAAAAGGTTTCTATTCGTTTGTTACTTCGAAATTGGTATATTGAAAAATTCGTTCAATGCGAAGTTTGAACGATGATTGGGATACATTCGATATATTGGTTGCAATAAAGACAACTTTTACTCGTAGAAAATTTTCCATTCGATTAAATTTCTATCATACTTTCTTATTTTTTTTTATAGAAGACCATATACTTGATAAACTATAGCTATGACTTATATACGATATACAGGTCATCAATTGCTATACTTCTGTATCTTTATTGATAAAATATAATCAAGTATTAAATCAAATTTATTCTCTGAGTAAATAGTATATCTCGCATTTTTTGTGTGGTCGCTTATGATGTTTCAGTTTTATTTAACAAACATGGGGGGTTCATTGTCAGCTCCACCAAAAGGATTTATCAATACGATTTGGAATGAAGCAGACAGCGATCTAGAAGTAGACTACGAAGACATAGAATATATGCACTTCCATTTGTCGGTTAGTAAATATTTTTATGATCAGCAAAAAATTCGAAGATAATGATTTCTTTTCATTTGAAGACAAAAGACGATTCAATATAATTATACTTCTACAAGAAGATATTTCATAATGTAAAGCAAACAAGAAAATACTGGTATGATCTCAAAAGTGGAATATGGAAGTACGTGAGGGAGGCTCTGGTTTTTGTGGTGAAACTGGATTAGTGTACCAAATAATCGAAGTACATACTTATTGTTAAATGTATCAATTTTACTTCTTCATTTTGATTTATTACGTCCAGGATGCTTTTATTTAAGAATATATAAGTGATGTAGTCGAAGTACTATTAAACTATCCTCAATACATTAGTTCGATAACGAGTAAAAATTGACCATTTAAAAAATGATTATTTATTGATAAATTTAATGCATATACAGTGCATAAATAAAATTTTATTTTTAAAACTAAACTAAAATTTTCAAATAGATTATGGTAAATGGTACATTATGAGTTGGTAGATGATCTAATAAAAGTATGAACCCATCGATTTCCACAGTGTTCTAAGAGTTTTCGCTCCCAATCAATATCGATTGAATTGATGGTATTCAATCCAGCAATGTTTTCAGATTTTAACCGGTTTGATTATATTGCAACTATAATTAAGGAAATTGAACATTTTCTAGTGATTTTGTTTCGGGGAAAAAGAAAAAAGCCATGGTCTTTAACTATACTACAGGTCCAAGCTAAAAATGAACGTCATATCGGAAATATATAAAATACCAAAAGTTTTGATAGAAAAATATAGATAATATTAGACTGTCATAAATTAAATACAGATCCATAATAATGTATGTCAGAAGCACAAACTAAACAATTCAATTTGATCGTCATTCTTCGATAAACATTAATAGTTTTTTGTTTTATTTATAGACAGCTCTACCTTATTTCAGTACTAACTTTTAACTTGAATCTCTTTCTTTTTTCACTCTGATTTAATAAAAACAAAAGGACAAGAGAGAATAAAATTAGGGTTAAATATTAGTATAAAATATCTATTAGCACAATGAGTAATCTATTAATGGTCAAAATTTGTTATTAGAAAAAATAACAACAGCATATTTATTAAAAATAAAAAAAATACTATTCTCGATATTATTTACTAAAATAAGGACATAATACAATTTAATTAAAATACTTCTTGAAGATACTTTGCTACGTATTAAATATAGTAATCACGATGATGAGCATGCCCCTGAATAACTTTAAACCTCTTGGCACTGATGTACGGCGTCTACCTTTGAAGTACTCGGTCCGATTGCAGGAATTGCAATTTTTCAATTAAGTCTTTATTTGATCAACATATCAGGGATATCCAAAATTGCCCTCATCAAGACTAAAAGTAATTATTCACAAAAATTATTTTTTTATAAATCGCAACAATTTCATACTACGTCAATGAGTTAAAAGGCTTACTTCATGCGAAACAAAATGTTTAGTTGGTTACAATGATTTCATAAAATATTTCCATTTGTGTTTTTCCGCAAAATGTATATAATTTTTTCAAGTAACACGATTCAACAATAAAAAACAAATAAAAACGTTTTGACAGAATAGAAATTAGAGTTATTTTTAGCAATTTTCCAGCCATTGCACTCGTGTCTACTGTAGTTATGAGTGTGAGCTAGAGGAGTTTATATAATATATCTCTATATATAGTGCAAAGAGAGAAAGAGAGAGAGAGAAAGGGATATAAAATCGTATGGAAGTGTATTAAATATCCATTTATCCAATTACAGCTATGACGACATGATAAAGACTATTCTGTTTCTTAATCTCGAAGAAATGGACTTATTAAAAGAACTAATAGATTTGTTTATATTATTGAGAGATTATTTGATATCGTTAACAGCAAATTTATAAAATTGCTTAAGTTTGATAGTATTGGCCTGTCTATTCACATTATTTTATGTGTTCTAATTGTGTAACATGTCAGCAAATTCACGCTTTTTCTTTCATTTTTCAAAGTCTAAAATTGTAATACTATCAAAATAAATAAAATGATTGATGGTTATATTATGTTATGCTATAGCTTAGTGTACGTCATTTTTGCATATAAAGCTTATGATGGTATATGTTATTTTTTAGTTGTTTGCCTATTTGTCTGACATACGATTTTTTACAATTATTATAGTCAATTTTGTATATAACTCCCGTATTTTTTTTTTATCGGGCTTGTCTTTTCCCAATATAATGAAATTAGTAAATTTATATATAAGTCGCTGTATCATTCAGTAATTCTTCTTATAAAAGGAGATGGGTGTGAAAGTGAAGCTAGTTCATTCGTGGTCTGACTGACTATGTATTTATGTGGGTCACTGTTATGAATAAATCAGCACTAAATAATACACCGAGGTGTTTGACATCAATTTATATTCAATTAATTAAATTAACTGAACTTAATAAGACAATTTGTTTGCATTGAAAAGACAATAAGCATATATTGCCTGAACGGCTTAACCGTAAAATAATACAATAAAGTAATCTGAATGCACTACTATTACATTTATTGGTAGGACTTATACATTTATTGGATATTATTATTGTAAAGCTTAGCTTTGGACATACATCAACAATAATAAGAATTACAAATCGATATTTCATATCAAATACTGCAGTGAATTGATTTTGGCGCATTCGGTCCCGCTAATTTATTTAGAAAATTTTTTGAAATTTGTATGCTTAAAACGTAAAGCTCTAGCCGTTGTTCCTTTACTTCAACGCGAAGAAAAAAAACTCTTTACTTCCTCCCCCTTTTTTTGAAATTAATATCTCATTCGTATTTTGGACTTGATAGGAAATTGTGGTATGGAAAAGGTGTCAAATTAAAAGAACACTTAGGAGCCAAATGATGTATAATTTTGGCTCCAAGGAAGAAAGCCTGTTGCCAGGCAAAACTCCCTCGAACGGAAATTAAATGAAGGTTACAGAGAATGATGTGCGATGTTGTTGTGTGTATGCGTGTGTGTGTAAATTGTTGGTTGTCCGTTTATTTGAGTAGGCTGCGAAGCAGCGGTTGATGAATTTATTGTTTATTCGTATAAGCTGCGAAGCAGCGGTTTATCAATTGATTTTGTTGAATGGACTGCGAAGCAGCGGTTGAATGCGTTGAATATTATGAGTGCACGTCACGTCGGAAATCGAAAATAGAAATAATTGGAATGGGGGGAATGATGATAGAGAAATAGAATTGAAAAAAAGGATTAAATTGTAAGATGAAAGGATGCGTGTCGCGACCGCGCACACGGAGGACTCGCGAACAGAAATTCTTTATGCGATACTATTGAATGACTACTGTTTGAAATTTTTAATTCTCTCGCGAGCGATTAATACGTCCGAAAATGTTCAATGCTGAATCTGAACTAAACCTTTTTTCTTCTTCGACACGCGACCTCTTGTGAGAAAAGCAGAGAAAGCAGAGAGCGAGAAAGAGAAAGAGAGAGAGAGAGAGAGAGAGAGAGATAGAGTCATAGGAGAGATCAAGATTAGATAAGAGTTTGTTTGAAATGACGTGGCGCGCTAGCTCATAGTGCTGATTGGCATGATAGTGTTATTAAGGAATAACGATACGTTTGAAAATGAATTGAAATTTAGTCGGTTTCGACTAAACATGCTCCCCGCGTTGCGAATCGGTGAGCAATGTTCAGTATTTGGTCAGTCCAAAGTCATGTGAATCGTGTTTTACATATAAATATTATACAAGCAATATAATCAATTAATCGCAATTGTTTGTAGCAACAGGTAATCTGCACAGCTGCGTGACGTTCCGTTTGTAAACACCGTGAGTCGTTTTTACAGTGACCACTCTCACAATTCCATCGCTGCCTGGATGGACTTCGGTAACGACACCCAAACGCCAATGTCTACAAGGTTGATTTTTGTCGATGAGAAGAACAATCGAATTGATTTCGATCTTGTGATTTGAATTAAGCCAACGTTGGCGTTTCTGTAACTCGTTTAGATATTCAAGGTGCCATCTCTTCCAAAAGTCTTGGCGTGCTCGAGTAATGAAACGCCATGTAGATAGACGATTGCCTGGAATAGATAATAAGTCATCATCCGGTAAAAAATTCAATGGTCTTCCTATCAACAAATGGGCCGGAGTGATAGCTGTTAAATCATTGGGATCGGTAGAGATAGAATACAGTGGGCGAGAGTTTAAAATCGCCTCAATTTCTATTGCGAAAGTGTTCATTTGTTCAAACGTTAACAATTGATCTCCTACAACACGTTTAAAATGGTGTTTAAATGATTTGACACATGCTTCCCACAAGCCTCCGAAATGCGGTGAAAGCGGTGGATTGAAGTGCCAATTGATATTTTTATTTACTGCGAAAGTATCGATATCGGAGCGGAATGACTCTGAATTCAAAAGCGCATACATCTCGATTAGCTGACTATTAGCTCCGACAAAATTTGTACCGTTGTCTGAAAAGACGTGTGAAGGAATACCGCGTCGCGATATAAAACGTTTGAAGGCTCCTAAAAATCCCTCGGTGGTTAGGTCACTTACGATTTCGACATGTGCGGCCTTTGAAGACATGCACACGAACACGCATCCGTACGCCTTGACCTTATTCCGGTTCCGAAACTTTTTTTCCTTAATGAAAATCGGCCCAAAGAAATCTATTCCTACGTGAGAAAATGCCGCACTTTCGTTAACCCGACTCGAAGGTAAATCGCTCATCTTGCTGTGTAACATAGTAGGTCGATGTCGTACGCATTCCACACAATCACGTATGATTTTACGAACTTGATTCCTAGCATCGAATATCCAAAAGCGTTGTCGTATAGCTGACAATGTTGAAAGGCAACCTGCATGAAAATTTCGCAGATGTGTTTCTCGAATTATTAAGTCGGTCACATGGTGACGAGAAGGTAATAAGAGGGGGTGTTTTTGATCGAAAGCAATAGTTGCGTTTTTTAAACGGCCTCCCACGCGTAAGAGTCCGTGTTCGTCGAGAAAAGGGTCGAATGCTGCAATTCGCTGAGTTTTTGCAGGCTTAGCTTGAGAAAGAAGAGAAATTTCACTTGAGAATTGCTCTCCTTGAATGATTTTTAGAACGATGCGCTCAGTTTCGCGTTTTTCTTGTACTCCGATAGCTCGGCATTTGTATTTATTAGTTGGTCTGAAACGCAAACAAAATGCGATGACCTTCAACAACGTCGTATATGAGGAAAATCGACTGAATATGTCGTTTCTCGTACCGCTAACAAGACTTACAACGGCTCTCAGCCCTGGCAAAGATTTCAATAGTTCCATCTTATCGACGGGCCACATAGCCTCAGAGTTCGTCAGCCATATAGGGCCCTCTAACCACGATCTATTGCCAAGAAAATCGACTGGCAATTGCCCACGAGAAAGAGCGTCGGCTGGGTTATCGTTGGTTCGAACATGTCGCCATTCACTCCCCGCGCTGAGCGACTGGATTTTCTTGACTCTGTTACCTTCAAAAACCTTGAGAATATTTGGCGGTTTCTGCAACCAGTGAAGCACAATAGTCGAATCTGACCAAAGAATAATTTTGTCTGCTGAGAAATTAAAAGCCGGTTGCACTTCATGCAACAGCTCGGCCAATATCAACGCGCCACAAAGTTCAAGTTGGGGAATAGTTTTAATCTTAAGAGGAGCTACACGCGACTTGGCACACGCAAGTCTGACTGTTACGCATCCGTTTCTGTTCACCGACCGTACATATATACATGCGCCGAATCCTCGCTGACTCGCGTCACAGAAACCATGAAGATCGATCTGTACCGGGTCGTCTATCAAGAGTCTACGTTGAATAATAAAATCGCGAATCAATCCTAACTGCGAAGCGAATTCTAACCAACGCGAATGTAGTTCCTGCGGAACTGATTCGTCCCATTCGCATTTCACCTTCCAGCAATCCTGCATTATCCCTTTCGCGTACAAAATTATCGGTCCTAAGAACCCAGGCGGATCAAAAATCTTTGCGATCTCGGAAAGAATGACACGTTTTGTGATTCGGTTTGACGTGTCGATGTCTTTAACTGTGTACACAAATTCATCGGTCTTTGCATTCCAAATGACCCCAAGCGTTTTTGAAATCGTTTCTCCTTCTGATGCATCGAATTTGAAAAATTTTTCATCGAGAGAATCAAGCGCGTGTTGATGATTAGAAGCCCACTGTCTAATGTTGAATCCTCCGCGGCGTAATAACTCTATAATTTCGTCACGTATTTGGCGAATCTCGTCCAAAGAATTGGCCCCCGTAAGCAAGTCGTCGACGTATAAATCTCGTTTCAAGATTTGTGAGGCGCGTGGAAACTTGGTCTCTTCGTCGTTCGCAAGTTGATGAATGGAGCGGATAGCTAAATAAGGTGCAGAGGCTACCCCAAACGTTACTGTGTTTAATTCGTAGACTGCAATCTGTCGTTGATGGTACCAAAAAATTCGTTGAAATTTTCTATCTTCCGGTTTTACGAGCACCTGTCGGTACATTTTCTCGATATCGGCTGTCAACACAAAAGTGTGTGTTCTGAAACGGGTGAGAATTATAAACAACCTATCTTGGATAGGTTGTCCGATGAGTAGTAGGTTATTCAAAGAAACTCCTCGATCTGTTTTCGCCGATGCATCGAAAACGACTCGCACCTTCGTAGTGTTACTCGTCGGTTTTATCACAGCGTGATGAGGCATATAGTAGCCATCGGAAGTTTCGTTCTGCACCAACGACATGTGTCCTAATTCAATATATTCATTCAACACCTTGCTATACTCAACTTTGAATGTCTCATCGCTCCGAAATCTACGTTGCAGTGCGAAAAAACGACGCAACGCGATAGAGCGCGAGTTACCTAATTCGGTTCGGCTTTCCTTAAAGGGTAGGCAAACGACATACCTACCATTTACTTCGCGAGTAGTAGTATCTTGAAAATATTTCTCGCATTTTGTTTCGACATTGATTTTGGCCGCGTGAATTCCGACTTCCTCAATCTCCCAAAACCTTTGCAACTGATGGCTCAATCCTATCACATTACAAGAAGCCGTAGACCTGAGCTCGTCGTTAATCGCACCTCCCGCGATGACCCATCCTAACAATGTTTTCTGTAAAATCAAATCATTCCCTCCGCGCGACAGATTGATTTGTCCCACGGAAAAAAGGGATAACGTAGCGCCCGAGCCTATCAACATATCTACGCCGCGTGGTATATGAAATTTAGGGTCTGCGAGTTTGATGTTAGCTGGAATATTCAGCCCTTCTCGAGCAAACGGTTCGTCCGGTATGAAATCTGCGATTTTTGGGATTACGAGAAAATTTAATGACTTTGAAAAATCGTTGTAACGCGAATGGATTTGAATGTCCATGCTGTTTTTTGCGATTGTACTTAACGAATTAATCGCGCCTACAAAGACATTGCAAGATTTCATAGAAAGGCCCAAGTTGTGAGCAAACTTATCAGTGACAAAATGTGCGGTTGCACAGGTATCTAATAACACCCGTGCTTCAATGGCATTCCCCTTTGCGTTTTTACAATGAATCAATGCGCTCATCATAAGCTGAGATCTCGGTGACCGCGAAAGTGTTTGAAATATATTGACGTCTAGTCATGCCTGCGGAATGGTAGGCGTAGGCTGCTCGTTACGGTGCAGAGATGTGTGATGGGTTTGATTGCATTTTTTGCATTTGCCTGAATTACATGTGCCTTCATGTTTACGCAGGCAGTTGCGACAAAGTTTTTTCTCTTCTATAAATGCCCATCGATCACCGATGCTATCCTTGTTGTATTCAGGGCAACGGTATAAATAATGTGAATCTCCACATCGTAAACAGGGCTTCGTTGTGGCAGCAGTCATCAAAAGGCGCGCACTGTCCTTCTTGAGCCTTTTTGTATTGCCCGTGTCTGATTCTCCTGCGCGCTTCTGTTCTATTTCCCTTTTAATACGCGTAGTTTCGGTTTCCATTGTTGAAAGACGATAAATAGTTAAATCGATAAACTTGAAGAATTCGTCCAGAGTCGGAAACTCGTCGAGCTGAAGAGATTCCTCCCATTTTGCACGTATATCTATCGGTAGGGCGCGCTCTAAGATTCGAACTACGATTTTTTCATCCGGTTCGAAATTTATGGATTTCAAAACGGATAAACGCTGACGTGTGTCGTCCACGAGCCGCGACAAACTAGTTGCGGTTGCGATGCCTATGGTCGGTGTATCAAGAAGAGCATCTACATGCCTAGCGATAAGAATACGCTTGCGATCATAAGCGTCTATGAGCGACTTCCACGCCTTTTTATAATTCTCAGCCGTAGCGCTAAAAATAGCTATCTTGCTCGCAGCTTCCTTTTGTAATGCATCACGTAAGTATAAAAACTTAACTAAATCGTCAATATCCGTGCGCGTAGCTACCATCGATTCGAATGAATTTTTGAAAGTGATCCATTGATCACAGTTTCCATCGAATTTCGGAATATCAGCCACTGGCAACTTTAGTTGACGCTGTTTTTCTAAAAAAGTGGAAGATGCCGTAGGTATATCTCGTCCCGTTGAAGCGTCGGGTACTGACCCGTTAGGATTGGGTATCGATGCAACTCGAGACGCGAGCGCGTAATAATCGTTTGATAAAACTGTCATACGTTCTAGTGCTTTGTTTGTGGGATCTTCCATTTCTATCACGTCGTGTAATTCTTCATGCGCATGAAAAAGATCGGTCACTCTCTGCAAACGGAGGACAGCGTTTGTACGATCTACGGTACCCTGCTCTATCGCGTCAGAAAGAGCCTTGATTTGCCGATTCAAAGCATTTCGTTTTTGATTGTAAACCTTGATATGTGAAGCCATGTTTAATGCAAATTCACTTGCAAAATTCTACAGAGAACTGGATTGATTAGTAGCTGTAATGCGCACGAGAAAATAAAAACGACTATTAACAAAGAGAAAAAAAAAAAAAAAAAAAAAAAAAAACTTGCCGCCCTTATGTGTATTTATGACCACGTGTTTCAATACCGACGACAAAGAAAACACGTGTTTTGTGAAATGCCGAGTCGAATATGTCTACTCGAGCTACCAATGCTTATCAATGCTTTCTCTAGTCCTAACACTAACAAATCTGAAATTTCTCGAACTACAGAAACAAAGGAAACTACGAAGTAAATCGAAATAAAAAATTCGCGCCTTTTCTTTACGCGATAAAATTTGATATAATTTTTTTTTTACACTTATAGAGTTAATATATTGTTACTTATCTTTGTAGTTTGGTCGATCCACTCAGTCGTATTATGCTGATCTTCGTACCTCACAGGAGGCACCAATTTCTGTATGCTTAAAACGTAAAGCTCTAGCCGTTGTTCCTTTACTTCAACGCGAAGAAAAAAAACTCTTTACTTCCTCCCCCTTTTTTTGAAATTAATATCTCATTCGTATTTTGGACTTGATAGGAAATTGTGGTATGGAAAAGGTGTCAAATTAAAAGAACACTTAGGAGCCAAATGATGTATAATTTTGGCTCCAAGGAAGAAAGCCTGTTGCCAGGCAAAACTCCCTCGAACGGAAATTAAATGAAGGTTACAGAGAATGATGTGCGATGTTGTTGTGTGTATGCGTGTGTGTGTAAATTGTTGGTTGTCCGTTTATTTGAGTAGGCTGCGAAGCAGCGGTTGATGAATTTATTGTTTATTCGTATAAGCTGCGAAGCAGCGGTTTATCAATTGATTTTGTTGAATGGACTGCGAAGCAGCGGTTGAATGCATTGAATATTATGAGTGCACGTCACGTCGGAAATCGAAAATAGAAATAATTGGAATGGGGGGAATGATGATAGAGAAATAGAATTGAAAAAAAGGATTAAATTGTAAGATGAAAGGATGCGTGTCGCGACCGCGCACACGGAGGACTCGCGAACAGAAATTCTTTATGCGATACTATTGAATGACTACTGTTTGAAATTTTTAATTCTCTCGCGAGCGATTAATACGTCCGAAAATGTTCAATGCTGAATCTGAACTAAACCTTTTTTCTTCTTCGACACGCGACCTCTTGTGAGAAAAGCAGAGAAAGCAGAGAGCGAGAAAGAGAGAGAGAGAGAGAGAGAGAGAGAGAGAGAGAGATAGAGTCATAGGAGAGATCAAGATTAGATAAGAGTTTGTTTGAAATGACGTGGCGCGCTAGCTCATAGTGCTGATTGGCATGATAGTGTTATTAAGGAATAACGATACGTTTGAAAATGAATTGAAATTTAGTCGGTTTCGACTAAACAAAATTTAATACATAAATGTAAAAAAAACTGTTGAAATGTCACAGATAAATTTCGAAAACAATTTAAAAACATTAAAAATAATATATCTATTGATATAAAGATATCCTACAAAAAGTTTGAAATCATACACTAATATGTTAAAAATTGAAAAAAATAAAATTGTCGGACGCAGCTGACGGTTCTACCTATTTAAAAAAGAAAAAAGAAAAACTAACTATGATGCGCTGAATTTTGCTTATATAGTTAAATATCTAAAAATCTGTTATATTATTAGATTTAAAATTTAATAATTCGCCAAATCAACGAATATCTACGTAAGGTAAGCCCTTCAAAACATATAATTGTTTTATGCTTTTAATATATTTTAAAATATTTTATTTCACTTATAACAATTTCAATTTGATTCAAGCATGGAAGTGAATATTATTGAATACAATACGTTAGTGTTATATTTGAAAACATATTGTTGAGCTTATTATAAAAACTTATAGATAATTTTTCAACTCTTTAAACTCAACAGTATTTTGTCGAAAAGTATCATACTAGCTATCATTATTATAAATATTAGTATTAATGTACAATTTATTTTTAAGCACAACGTAACAATAACAAAAGTCTTAGAAGCCTATCAATAATCCAAGTGACTAACATTCCATTTTCATCGTGTACAACTCTCGATGCTTATAGTTACAAACCACAATTAACACGAGCTCTTCACGAGCAAGCCGCAAAATGATTTATGAGCAGTTCGTTGGTGTCACGCGAGAGCGTAAATAAACAGAACGAACGTCAATTCACTACCGCATGGGCGTCCGTGTCGCTCGTGCGCATTTAAATAAGCGAAACTCTATTGAGAGAAATTGAACGAGGCCTCTCCTAGGTCACGTGTTCGGGTCTCGCGTGTGTATACCTCTTGAAATCAGGTCAGGTTCTTGGCCACAACCGGCGACGAGTTTCTTGCTCATTTAGCGGTTCCCTGGCGAACGGGTTTTAATGGAACTATGCGAAAGGACGCACGATTGTTGTCTGGCGATTACAGAGAAATGCATTTTTCTGGGGTTCTCGATAACCTGGAGAGAATGTGAATGTTTTTCTCTTCACCGTTGACCTTTATTTAAAACACTGTTTTTCAGGTTCGACAACCGTTATGCTTAATTTCAATGTCAAGATTGAGAAGATATCAGTTTCATCGCAGAACAAATTACTAGCAAAGCCTTGGAAGATCAGATAAGTTCCCGGCAACGAGTTGTATCGAAATAGATCACTGTGCAAGTCAACGTGTAAAGCAGTAAAAATCGTGTGAAACGATGATATCAATTGGTTGTCTCGCGAGTTTTAAAGATAATTGCCCTTGCTAAAGACCAAGGTCTTAGCTCAATCTACAGTAATTCACTCTCTAAATAGTTCGGACAATGAGTTACTCGTTCGTGGCGATTCGAAAAGAATTGTAGCCGGATCATCGCGCAATTGCGAAAACTCTATTTTCAAAAAAATCTTCAGATGCAGTTGAAGGAATAGCACTCAGCACTGACATTCGAATTAAAAATTCCAAACACACATTTAAATAACGAGCCAAGTTTGTCGCACATTTGCGATGCTTCTCAGAGGCACATTGTAAATTAACACGTCACGAAGAACATATGGCACTCGCAACTGCGACTTGTATACCGGCAGACCGTTTATTATCTGGATGATGTTAACGAGAATTTCGAATTCTCGTAAAAAAATCAACAAACGACGTCGTTTCCTCGAAACAACGGGGAGAAATCAAATGGTCCAGGCGGAAAATCATGCATAACCCAGTATTTTCTCGCCACAAAGTCACCAGTACATTCTTTACGTGCCCGGGCGGATTCGTTCGAGCTCGTCAAAAAGCACACCTCGCAGTCACCATATACGTATATCTCCAACACGTGCCGAGCAAACGTATGGGCCAATGTGTACGACCAATGCAGCCACAACACAATACCCTACTTCTTCTATGTTTGCCGATTTATATCATTTTTATCGGTTAAAACTTTAATTTAAATATCACTTGAATCCATGTCTCAACAGATTTCTCATAAGAGATTGCATTTATCTACGTGAGAAATCACAGTTTCTGAAAAAAAAATAAAAGAAAGAGATGAGAAAAACAACTTCGACCTCGAAATAATCGCGAAACATGGTAAATTCAATCAAATATTTTTAAAGAACAAATGCCTTTGCTTTTATGAAAAAGAAAAGTCCACACCCTTACGAAGAGTACCCTGAACGGAGAAAATTTGCATTGATAATTCAGCGAAGAAGCGAGGAGCTTCACTAGAGGCTCGGCTCGTCTTTGTTCGCAGAAAGTATACGAGAGAAATGCACTTTGAAAGAAAAAAAAAAAAAAAAAAGACACGGGATATAACAGCAAGCACCACCTCTTCTTTCTCTCCGGCAGGTTGCGCCGGGAAAAAAGCCGTAATAATTCGAAAGCGCCGCCCCCACGACTCATTCGCGACCGGCTGACTGGCGCGCTCGCGCTGGCTCACTACGCGATGGACAAGCGGATGTGTTGGCTGGCACTTTGCTGGCTGCTTGGTGGCTGCCTCGACAAGCCGAACAACGACACTGCGACCGTCAGTGGCTACCCCCGGCCCAAGCCCGGCACCTATATGACCCAATGGGACAAAGTCGACCTCAACGAAGTGTTCAAGAGCAAACGACTCATGAGGCACTACTTCAATTGTCTCGTCGACAAGGGACCTTGCCCACCGGACGCTCGCGAGCTCAAACGTGAGTGACGTTTTCACTGTATCTCTGTGCGTGTCTCTGCCCGTGCTTCGTGCGGCTACGCGTATCTCGTGCGCGTTTTGCGCGGGAAGAGGAGGCGAGCGTTGTTTTGAAGATGCGCCACCGCGTTTGCTCGCGAGCGCAGATCTGGAAGCGATAACGCTGGCGCGCCGTGGAATGCCAAGTGACCCGCGCAAACTTCCGAATCGAGCTGTATCTCGCATTCCGCGCGCGCTTCTCTGGCAATGCTGCGCCGCTAACGATTATGGTAACCGTTTGATACTTCGACGATAGACGTCCACTGCGGCGTGCCTTGTGGCGAATCAATTTCAATTTCCAGGCGGGACTTTCGCACGTGCTCGTCGGCGCTTAACCGTTCCTCACGGTTGTTTCTACCGATACGCATTCTGCAGCCTGACCCACATCGCCAACGCGGTCGTGTATTGGTTGTCATGTTCACGGCTCGTTTTCTCGCCTCGTATTTTACGTTCGTTAAGCCGAGTGTGTTGACGGAACGCACTTTCTTTCTACCGATTTTCGAACGATGTCTCTTCCGGCTACTTCCGCAATGTAGGTCGCATAATTCTAATGAATCCAATTTCGAATTCTACTTTCGCTACTTTCTCGATATCGTGCACTACGCAAATTTTCGTGTTTGTCGTGAAATTCCAGGAGGCCTATCGAATTTACGACGTCGCATTTTACATAAAAAAAAAGTAACACTCGATACGTTTTGCACTTCAAAGATAAACTTTCGAGGCGTTGTCAGTCACAATAAGAGAATAAAATCAATGTTGGACGCGTGAATAGTGTTGAATATATACATAAAAATGTGTTATTAAAGTTGAATCGAGAACGAAAAAAGTATAATACGATTAAAATGACAATCATGAGAGTTGAAGTGTAGGCGAACCAAAATCCTCTTTGGAATGGTTGAATTAATGATCGCCTCCTTATTAACATATTTCCAAGTATAAGCCGGACAAAGTAGTCGGCCTTATCAAATCCCATTATCCGAGACGAGAGGCTGCGCGCACAATGGATGATAGAGGAGGTATTTTCGGGCTGCGCTATGCCGAGGGGTCTCTGCATTGTCGAAAACAGGACGCGTTCTTGCTTCTCTGTCCTAGCCGGCGGTCTTACGTCTCGAGAGTTCTGTATCCAAACGAGTCCTTTGCCAGAAAGATAGAAAGAACAAAAAGGAAATTGGCACGACGTGCGGAACATGGGCGAGTCAGGCGCTCGTCCTACGACGAGCAATCAACGAGATTACACCTTGCTTCACGGGCGTCGATTGCGCGTTTCCGCGACGCGCTATTCGCGGCGATCCAAAGAAACGGCAGCTGCGCAATCTCGCGCGCGCGGTTCAAGGGCCGGCGCGGCGCGACGCAACGGAAACCCCGCCGCGCTCGCGCGCAAGGTCGCACTCCGCGGCAATTATGCAATTACTCCGGGCGGCGACTGTTCTCTTCTGCTACGCTTTACGATCACGTAATGCGCTCTGCTTTGTTGCAGGAGCCCTTCCCGAAGCGCTGGAAAACGGTTGCGCCAAGTGCTCGAAAAGCCAGCTCGACGCTGCTATCAAAATTATTCACCATCTCAGGTGAGTCTTCTCGTTTTTGTGAACTTGCGAGCATCGTATTCTCAGCTGTTCGTCGTAGTACAGCTCAATTAACACACGCTTATACACACACGCGCGCGCGCCCGCACGTACACGTACAATTGTCGAGGCTTTTTATCGAAGCATGCGGGATTTTCAATTACAACAACACACATTTATTAGCAATATTGTATGATCGATTACCAACTTGATTATAAGATGTTTACATTCATATCATTTAAGATGCATCAACTGATTCAAAACGAATACAAAAAGCCACTACTCTAACTTTTATTCGATTCTAATAAAAAACGACTTTCTAAACTGGAAAAACATTTTTCTAAACTGTTTCAAAAAATTAAAGGATAATTCAATAATTGAAAAAAAGTTATTTTTGAAAGTCATTTTTTTACTTTTGAATGTTGAATTAATTGCTTAGTAATTTCATTCAAATTAAAAATTTAATAACTTGACTTTTTCATCTTATTTACTAATATAAAACTGTAAGAAACCACGACTAGTGTACCTCTGCAGCGTTACACATAAGCATATTAATAATAATAATAATAATATAATAATAATAATAAGTAAGAAGATGCTCTTTAATGCAATCATTCCAGAAAAGATTTTAGGATGCTTAACTGCGATTATTATGTGTCATCAATCGTTTAGTTTTCCAATAGTTTCAGCTTCAGTTAAACTATATATCTATACGTACATTTCATGTGACTCAAGCGTTTAAATTACTTTTATTCTCTTCTTTTCGTGAATTTCATAAGCTTTCTAAAATTCGACTTTTGATTCCATTCCAAGAGTCTTACAACGATTTTTAATAAATGTGAAAGTTCATTATAAATTACAAATTATGATTTGCAAAGTACGAAACACCATTATCCGATTAATAGAATACAAATAACAATTATTTTTCAGATATTAAAAAAAAATTAATTTACTATATTTCTGAATTACTATATTCTTATATAGATATTGCTACTGTCAAAGAATAATTTGCCGAAATAACATTCTCATATAAGCATTTATGTAAAAGAACGTAGTAGTCACTTTGAGGTCTCGATAATATTTTTTGTCATATTCAAGTACACGTCCAATAAAATTTACAAAACAAAGATAAACGACAGTGAAGAACTAAGAACAGGAAATAACAGTCTGCACACCTGCCGTGAACACCAATCGACTACGCATTTGTATGTGCTTAGAGAGGTGAACTACTTTCGTGTTCCGCATACAAATCGGGAAGAGTAGTGTGAATGTGACGCGAACTCGCGCGTAAACTATGACTCCGCGTTAGTTATTAATATTACCAAGTCGATTGATGCGGTAACTTTGTATTGGCACCTAAGTTAAATTTATCGACATTGTTTGAATTTGAATTTGGTCTTTCAGATTACGTTAGTTTCGTTTTATATTTACATCAGATTTGAGAAATAAATAAATCGGTTGGAAAATATTACCTATCGCGCTGCTGGTTCCGACTAACTTTTTTTTCAAGAATAGAATTTTATATAGTTATGATACTTATGTACATTAGGTATGCATGATTATCAATTTTCGGTGATCTTGGGTGGCCTTGGATAAACTGAGCTTTATAAGAAAAACTTCATTAATAGATAAGGTGAAAATTTGGATATTGAATAAAAATATTTATCACAACAAATGATCAGAAACTTAGATTTTCGTTATTTAAACATGCATAATAAAATTGACGAAGGTATACATACTAATTTAATTAGATATATTATAGAAATAAAGCGACTACTAATTTCGATTTTGTTTTTGTACTCAATTTTTTGAAGCTTGCGTAGTCTAATGTTCTCAGAAAATTTAAAATCTAAAAAATGTTTAATTTTTTCAAATTCTATCGATTCATCTTAGGCTATCCTAATGGGCGAATATTCACAATAGAACGTACAGGCATATCGTGCTTTGAAATTAATAAAATTTATACGGCGCATGATATAAAATAGAGTATACCATGAATTACCTGATGCTATACTAATCCATGTTAATATTATATAAGTACACCGCAGATTGTAATAATAAAACTATGCTTTATTTATTATTGAACTTGAACAAAATTGTTCAAATTTAAAAAAAATACTGCCTTATTAATTACAGAGAATTCGAACCAGTGAAATTTGAGATTCTTGCCAATAAGTTTGACCCAAAAGGGATTTACCGAAAAAGATATTTAGACTCTACTCCAAATGAAACGAATAACAGTATAATCGATGAAAATTCGATTGATGAAAATAACCAGAAACTTATGCGGCTTCTCAAGAGACACCGTCGCCGCGCTTAATGTGCCACGAAGAATAATTCTTAAATTCAATAAGATTAAGTTATTGTAATAGACCTGGTAATTTTTACGTTATACTTGTAATTATATATTCATGTTATATTTATTATTTATGATATAATTTTTTGAATACTAAAGAGATATTGTGATATGAAATTTTACAATATAAAATACTCATAAGTTTATGTTATTTATTGCTACGAACATTGATGTACTATAATAAAAATACTTTTATTTAATATTTTTTACAATACTACTAATTTTCATCATGAATTCCTCTGAGCTTCAAAATTCGTATTCATAAATAGGATTGCCGTACTTATATTGAAATGCTTTAGTGAATTTAATCTATTTCTCGGTGTATTTAATTATATTCAGTCCGACGCGTACGAAATATACATATTCAATGCCTCCTTTAATTTGTTTCATAAGATCTGGCTCTCTGGACTGAGAATTGCTTTATGGATATTAATCGGTTCATTATTTTCATAAAGTTAAATTTGATCTTTAATGTCGGTAATGGTAGTTGGGAATGTAGATATTTAAATTGCAATTTCAAAAGATGACGTATAACTCGCTTCAGCAGTCGCTTGTCGTTTATTTTACACGATTTCAATACACTCATCCTTGTAGATTTAAACATTTATTTGTTACTTAATATATAATTGCAAAAATGATTTGCATGATGATATTTATGACGGAATGACTTACCTATAATATTCTAACATTTACGTAACTGCACAATTACATTTTTTGTAAGATAGATAGCGCTTGTTGTAGAAACTGAAAAATTTATTTTTTTTAACATTTTATATCTATTTTGAAGAATATGATGTTGTTAATCAATTATGTTTGTCAAATAATCACGAAATTTTTTCATAATAGATACATGAATGACATATATCATACATTTTATTAAATGCGTATACGTATTTGTGTAAAACAATAATATAGATATCATGAATTAATCTCGGTATAATTTATAATTCCACAACTTTCTAGCAATCCACTTTGCCAAATTTTTCTTCAAACTTCTCTTGTATGGCACCGTCTGGATCTTTTTCTCGTCGTACTTGATCATAGTCAGCTCTGCGATGGTGGCAAATATATGTGACTGCTTCCTTGAACTTTTCGATATGTATAGGTAAACACTTAGCGCATAGAGTATCAATCATCTCTGGTATCAACTCTGGAAATGTAAATTTTCTAAAATACACTGGAGATTCGATTTAAAGCTCTATTGAGAAGCTAGATATTTTCAGATATTATAGGGAACAGTGTTTATTCTTTTCAGTAAATTTTTCATTCGCTTCTTAACGATAACAAAATCATATAAGTGACAATTTTAACGAAATATAATGAATAAAAGACACTTATGGTAGTCTATAATCGTGAAACTTTTTAAATGTCAACGCAAAAACCCGCAAAAAAAATATTTTTTTTAAATATTCTGTAGCATTCATAAATTAGTCTTTCACGTTATATCTGTGAATGAAATAAGTAAATTTTATTGAAAATAATATCTAATCCAATTTTTTTATGCAATACACGTCTTCTACTATACTAAATTAGACAGAGATTCGTTAAAAAATATTATGCAGTATTCGCTATCCAAGGATTCATAAGTAATAAATAAGTAATAATATATTATAGTTTGAACATAAATTTCGAAAAATATTTACTTTTAAATTCCATAACCATTCGCGGGCAACTGATTGGATGCTCAGTAGTCAGACACTCTTTGTATTTCTTAAAAAGACGATCATTGTCTATAATAGCTTTGGTATTTACTTCTGTCCAAGCTATAGGATAGTGATCTTTCATAATATTTTGGTCAAACAAATCTGAAGATTTCAATATTTTTCTTGCCAGTACATGAACTTCTTCTTCAGTGCGACAAATACCGATAATAATTAAAATGACAAACACAATAAATTTCAAATAGATTTCTCGACCCGACATTTTGCAAAGTAGGTGCGACTCTGGTATATTCGACACGCTTGAAGTTCTTTTATACCAGAACTTGATCTTTTTAGGTATATCATTCAGCAAATATGAATAAACCTATATCTTGTGGACGTATGTTAGAGGTGAGAAGCTGACTTGACATAAGACGTGACATTACAGATATTAGATTTCACAATATGGTATATGATTATTTTAATTACAGTTGACAAGCGTCGATAAAAGACATACATAATTTATAATTTTTTAATTTTCATAATTTTTTACCTCAGTTAATAAATCCTATAGATAATAATAGTAAGTAAATAAATATAATTAACAAATCTTTAGAGAAATAAACTATTTATCTGAGACTCAATAATCTACAAGTAAAGTTTGACATAATTTTTAGCTGTAAATTATTGGCTCATACTTTTTAAATTGTGTTATAGAAATATAAAAATTCAAAATATGAATTGATTTGGTTTTTGGTGAGCTATATTAAAAAATTTATTTTAAATGAAAATGCTTTGTAATAGTTTTTCCTCGAACATAATTTATTTGAACTTGAACATCATATGATTGATCATACAGAGATTAGTAATTTTTAATGACAATATACAAAATTAAATACACGTTTTATGCTTATTATGCTTTATTTAAAAATGATGTATCACGACTCATGGAATGGCACATATGAGTGTACAGGAAAGCCTTTAATAACAAAAATTTTAACACCCTAGCTCGCCATATTTTGCTTCAAATCTAGCTTGTATAGTTCCATCTGGGTCTCTTAATCGTCGAACTTCGTCGAAATCAGCTCGTCTTTTGTGATAAATATAACAGGCTGCTTCTTTAAATCTTTCGATGTGAATAGGTAGACATTTGGCACACAGACTTTCAATTATTTCCGGAATTAGTTCTATAATCATATAAAATATAATGAAACTTAGTTTGAAAACAAATTTGACATATGCAAGTTTTGTGAACGGTAGAATGTTCTAAATGTTATCAAGGAATTATCAGAATCTTTAAAGAAAAATATCTGAAAGAAAATAAGTAAGTTAATAATTTCATGGTAAAATGTAAGCCATCTGCTAAAATGACTGTCATTGAGACTGCCGTGTTACTCCAAAATACAATAAAATTCTACTACAAGAATGTTTCAAAATAAAAATGCGTTAAAACAATAATATTTTCCTATTTTTATTTTTATTTTGCTGTTTTAGAAGTAACTAACAGTATCTATGAAATGAGTACGTTCAATTAAAATACTTATAATGAACTGCTGTAATTGCTATACGCAGCAATAAATTATGAGATGCGTTACATCTATAGCAGCGTTTCAAAAGCCATGAACCTAGAGCACGATGTCCGATAGCTCTTATATCGAAAGTCCCTTATAAATGATTTTACCGTATGAGAGGGGATCTTTCAGTTCTTTTACTCTCTGTTTTAAAATAATAAATATTTTACACAATGGACAGATTGACATCGATGATACGTTGACAATAAAGATTCAAAATGTATAGTATAAAATTATCTATAAAAGTGTTTATTTCAGAAAAATATAACTTACTTTTGAACTCGGTCACGATGCGAGGACAACCATAAAAATGTTCTGCAATAATACAATCCTTGTACTTTTTAAAAAGGCGGTCATTATCTATGATAGGTTTGTAGTCAAATTCAGTCCAGGCAACAGGATAGTGATGCTTCATTTTTGATTTGTCAAATAAATCAGATATTCTTAAAGCAGGCTTTTTCGTTGAGTTATCTATTGTATTACTAGAACTTGTGACGCTGTTGACAAATACCGCAAGTATGGTTGCTGATATGAAATAAGCTCTACGACACATTTTGAGGTATAGTCTTAATTCTACTAACATCAAATATCGTTTGAACTCTTTTATATTACGTTTTCAATATTAAATACCTTCTATACGTCTATAATTTTCTTGGTAATAAGTTTGTTTTTTATGACAATTATAATACTAGGAACGATGTAATATATTAAAGTTGCATAAGGTTACGTGTGAGCCTGTCACGCGAAGTTCAACTCCTGTCTACTTTTTTTTTAATTATTCACTCTCATGTAATTAGAGGAAATATAAATACATCTAATTTAAATATTATCTGTATCCGTAAATTAGAAGGCAATAATCGGCAGAAGTTCAAAAACTTAAGCTACTATTTAATATTATTCATTCTTTACTCAAATCTCGACTATATATGTATAAGTGTTATTGAATATATATTTCTTTTTTCTGATTGAAATTTTGAGTGATGAATATATCTTAAACATGATAAATATTGTCGAAACATATCACTATGTAACTCCAAATAGTCTAAAGATTTTCTAATAGAGCTTATAGGCTTATAAAAACTAACGTATTAATAATGATAATGCGACAGATCAATGGAAAAATCTTATGATTTTCCAGAAATGTTTTCGTCATTATCATTATAAAGAATTTTTCCAAGTATAGCATTTTAACTTGATTTTCATGAATTGATAGTTTATTTTATGATCAAATTTTTTATTTAGCGATACTTTCATTTAATTTTCATAGTATGTTGCATTATTCAGAACAATTAATTATATAACGAGTAAGTTATTCAATAGTATTGGCATATTAATATCAACAATTGACTTTGCCGAACTTGTCCTCAAATTTTGTCTGGAGTGAACCGTTCGGATCTTTGGACTTTCGCACTTCATCGTAATCGGCTCTTCGTTTCTTGCAAATGTACTCGACTGCTTCTTTGAATCTTTCGATATGTACTGGTAAGCATTTGGCACACATTGTCTCCAGTACTTCAGGTATAATTTCTGTAATTATTGGTTACAAATTAAGCGATGAGCTAATTAAGCAAATTCAATAATAGATATCGTAAAATCTTCGAACTAAATGTGTGGAAGTCTTTTGTCAACGAATAATTCTTTGTTGCGAAACCCTTGTCAATGTGGTTAAATTTTTACATAAATAATAACCTTGTAGTTTCTAGTTAAAATTATAAAATCAACATGACCATAGAAAGAAATTCACTCGACTAACTTTTTAATTGAAGAACGTCGCGGGGGCATCCCGTTGTCTTGTCCACTAGAAGGCACTGCTTATATTTTCGAAATAATCGCTCGTTATCAATAACAGGCTTGTAGTTAACTTTGGTCCAAGAAATCGGATAATATTCTTTGGTCTCACTGTCTTCATGGGTTGGTAACTCAGTAGTTTTCTCCGCCGACTGTTCAGTGAGGTCTTGAGCAATGGCAACAGTGGTTAGGAACAACGTAGCTATGGCTAACGCGAGGTAAACTCTATAACGCGACATCTTAACTCTGCTAACGAAGTGATTCACTATGAGTCTTTTATAGTGGCCGAGTGTGTTTTCCGATCTCAACGTAGATCAGCGAGCGCAAGAAAAAACTTGTTTCCGCGCTTATGCACACAAAAGATGCGAGCATGTGATTGTGCAATGTATACACCTCATGCGCTAATTCTTGGCCTTTATAGATCGACTTATCTTTATTTTTGCCGTGCTCAATCATTTTCTAACATTGGTGTGTATATCTATTGAATGCGAAGACATCCGGACGGCAAGCGTTGAATTAATCGCTCATCGATGAATACGATTGTCCGAATGAGTTCTTTCCGAGTGCTGACTAACTGCGACTTCAGTTTGATCGGCTAAATTTCCACGTGACCATTGTCGAAACACGGCAAAAAGTTGCTCGAATGCGCAATCGAATTGTTTGACGATTAGCATCAGCGTGACTTTTTATTTTTCAATTTTCAATCGTTAATCTTCGAGCTAAGAGTTATTTTCAATCATGAGAAAGATTTGTGAGCAGCTCTCTGAAAAAATATCCGGCGACGAGGTTAGCTTGCGAGATTCAAATCAGGTCGACGCAGAAACAAAACTAAGAATTTTTCGGGCCCTGAGAAACGTGGATCCAGATTCGAAACAACTGTATCAGTGCATCAAGCAGTCTGTCGAAAAATTTCTGACTGATAAAGATTGTGCCCATAAAGCTTCTACGGAAACGTTTGAGGACTGCGATTGTTCGTCTGTGGACACCTTGGAATTTTGTGATACGTTGAAATCGAGATGTCACGATGAATGTGAACTGATGCTTTTTACCGAGATTATTATTAAAAAGCTCGACGATGAATTGTGTAATCTGATCATTAATCGTGAACTTCGAAGACGCGAGGTTAAAGAAAAACCCGAATACATCATCGTTCCTGTACTTATTTGTCCTAGCGAGGATTCAACCAGGTAATTATAACAAAATGAAGACTTCGATTTTAGGATGTATTGACCTTGTTTCTTTGGTTAGTACTGCAAGCCAACCTTGCCAATGTTCGACGTCAGATTCGGATAGAGATATTTGCACTTGTGACTCCATTTCAATAACGTGTTCGGCGAGCAAAGCCCAGCTAGGGATCTGTAAACGCCAAGCCAAACCTATCGTTTTTCGTCATGCTGGCAACCTGATGACCGTGTCGTCCGAGATATTCGATAAAGCCGTAGAACCGTTTAAAATCGGCGAAGTAGGCCCTTCCGAGGAAGTCGGCAAGTGGGGAGACCTTTTCTGCTTCGTCGAACGCATTTTACGAGAGCTGAACTTACGATTGAGTGGAGTGAGAACGTTGGCAGAAGATGATTGTTGTGGCGACAGCTGCATCAGGCCCACGAAAAAGGACAGATTCGACGATTTGGAAAGATTCAAACACATCCATTTGTTTGGCTTTTCTATATTTTGCCGGAACTTGATGAGATGGTAAACGATCGAAGCGACAGCTAATTGACCGAGCGCGATCGCCTGTGAAATTATCGTTTGTAGGTCAAACTGCATTACAAAGAGGTGGAACTGCGTAACAAGTTGTCCGCACCTCGTCATTCATCTACCTTCTATGAGTTATCCTTGCCATTTGCGCAGAAAAGCTAAGCGCCAGTTCGGATCCCTACAAAATGTTCAAGTAATCGCGCGAACGACGGAAATGAACGCGAATCATAGAATCAACGGACTATAGGCAATAATGACAGATCGGCAGGTTGGGTTGGCTGGTGAACGAGAACGCGCAGGTAATGTACGTGCACCCGGGCAAGTCGAATTTCGAAAGCAAGTGCATCCTGCAGTGCTTCGTAAGAGCGGCCAGACCGGACGTATCGTTATCGAGGCTGTGGATCATCGAGAACGACGACGAATGGTGACATATAAGCTCGCTTTACAACTCGCGGTTACGTAAGCGAAGGCAAAAAAGAATGCACCTCGACGGCAATAATGCGTGGCAGTCTTTCCAAGGAGGTCGACGAGGAGTATCGCAGTGGATGTGAAAGTCTATTCTATACGCCGCGGGTTTATCGCCGAGTGAGGCACCTGACTGCCGGCCGTCACGGATTCATTATTCCAGGTGTCCTGAGCAAAACGGATGTGCTCATTGCCGGCGAACTTAGGACGCCCATTTTAGGTGACAGCGCTCGTTTTAAAGGCATTATCTTCATTAAGTGGCATTGTATCGCTCTTATTAAAATCATAGCGCCGTTGCGCCAGATAAGCTCGAACCAATGGCAGACGTAGAATCGCCACACTGTGCTCACAGTCGCACGCACAATTAAGGACGTTCGTCGTTTATCCGCTCTAGCGATCGAAAGCCTCGATCGCCAGTTTAATTATGAAATAAGCCGAGACAGCCGCATTGCCTTGCCAAGAAAATAATATTCGTCCACGCGCGCGTTTTCTAAGCAAGCAGTCGTAAAAGCGTCCGACGAAAGGACGAAGGCATCGCGCGTATCTCAAGGCACCGCGCCGCGGGGGATGAGCCGACGACGTACAGGCGAACGACCCTCAGAGCACGTTTACTCTGCTCCTCGCAGGGCCCTGTTTAAAGTTCCAGGAGCGATTGCTCAGCAAGTTCTACGTGATGTCTGTGCTGGCCGAGGCCGGACTCCGTCAGCCGCCCTTCGTCGGCGTGCGTAATTTTCGCGAAGTAAGTCGCCGAGGGGCGGTGAATTTTTCACGAGACACTCGAGGGACGCGCGTCGCCACGTCTCTTTTCCAGCTGTGCGAGAGGATGGCCGAGATGGCAATCAAAGAACCGCGGAAACGCGAAGCCGGCGAGAGCAAATGGATGCTCAAGGTCAACTGCGGCTTCTGCGGCAATCAGAGCGCGCTTGTCTGTTTAGAGCGCCGAGTTTACCGCTTCATGGCCAAGGTGAGTTGTGGATCGCAACGCGCGACATCTTAGAAATTGCACGAATTTACAGAAAAGATTGCGATTCCATTTCTCATTTGCATCTTGATGTCGATGTTGAATATCGCGCACTCGAATGCGTTGAAATATTGCAAACGCAAATATTTTTATCGTCGATCGTAAACAATTGGTTCTTTCTTTCACAAGGAAGATCTTCAACTTTACTTGGCCCTCCAACTTCCGGATAAGCTGCAGGTCAGCAAAAGAGTTTACAACGACGCCAAAGAATTCTTTGTGGAATTGGAAAGACACGGCAAGCACAAATCTTTGTTAACCGAACCTTAAATACCTAATTAACTGAAATGTTGAGAAACTAAGAAAAAAGTTAGTCAAAGTTGTGATTTCATAATTGATTGGTAATCGAAGAAACACGCTAAGGCACTTGTCCGGCAAAATGTCAAGCTCGTACGCGAACGATTTCATCAAACATACAATTGTCGATTCGAACGGAACCGACAGCATTGATGCAATGCTCGGGCGATGCGGAATGTTGACAAACAGCTTGTTGATGCATTTACAATTTATGTGACAATCGAGCTGAACTGAATTCATGAATATTTGCATAATATTGACGCAATACAATAATTTGATACACGGATGCGGCTTGGAAATCGGGCTTCTTCCGGGTTCCGCAAAATTCAGCTTATAAAGCGACGAATTCACGATTGTTTTTCACACGAATTCAACGAGCTCGAGTGTCGCGTGTGTTCGGAAGTACTCGTGTAAGATTTTGTTGAAGCTATTATTACAGAATGTTTCGCGCGAAAGAAGGACCATTGTTTCTCACAATGTGCATATTATCCGCGTTAATTTTCGAGAGCCAACATTTGTCGTCCGACCAGTGGAAATGCAACATAGCAAATGCCGTGTATCTGTTTGTATTCGTGACGCTCGAAGTGGTCGTCGTGAGATTGTCAGCGGTCGAACTGGAAAGAAACAGTCACGATATCGAAGACCTGCCTCGACCCTTAATCCCTTGAGATGGAAACGCGAAAGAGTGAGCGTTGAGCAATTCGCGCGGTATCCAGGTGGAGTGCTGACAGCTTGCCCCGAGGGCGACTATCGCACGGTCAGTTTGGGCTGCTTCATCGAGCACGACACGGCCAAGGCTCGTCTGCGAACCAGCGCAGACGTGTTGCGGACGCGCACTGGGCTGCACAGCTGCAGCTGGAGCGACTTCGGCTACGTCATACCGCAGACCAGTCTGCCCGAGGCATGGGTCGAGCAACTGGTCGCACGTCTCGGTGACGCGCTGTCGCTGGAGCAGCACATCGGCTTCTTCGGCGTGGACATCCTGGTCTTTCGCGACCGACAACAGGTACCGCCCGGCGAGCGTGTACCCGGTTGACACAGCGCGCACGAGTGCAGTGCTCGCTTATTACCGCAACTCGTGTTCCACGCAGGTACTCGATTACTGGGTGGTGGATATCGACCCGTACTACACGGATCTGCTGTCTTTCGACGACTGGCGGCGATTTTGCTTGAATATACCTATTTGCGCGAGGTGAGTCGCGCAAATGCTGGCCTCGCCGGCGAGCGAAAGAACTGGCGCGCGCTGACATCACGCAACGGATAATTTCAGTTTCAGCCCCATTCCCGACAGCGCGCCGGCTAATAGCAGGAACGCCGACACGGCAGTCGTCCCCTCGGAGCATCGATTCGTCGTCTGCAGCGGACAATTGCGCGTCGACGGCCTGTCCACGCTCGCCTCGGACGCGTTCCTCCGCGAGCTCTGCGACAAGCATCGAATCGCTTACAGTCACAAGGTGAGAATTAATCGCGCTGTCTCGCGCGTGCCTTCGTCCGAGTCCTTGCTTTTTCTTGTCACGCAGGCGAGAACAGGCTGCATGATCTGCCCGATAGATAGCGAGAAGAGGACTTATCTTCTGTTCTCGTTTTGTCGCTCGAGAGTCACGGCTCTGAGGCACTTTGTCCGAGCGCTAAAAGCCCTGCACTCGGCGTCCGTCGCGAAAAGTAAGCCGCTACTCGGACCCACCGTCGCAGCCTCTTCTCGCTCGAGTAACATCCTCGTACGTATGTCCATCACGTTGACCACGCGGCAATGCCGCTTGCCTGCGCGAGCCAATGCATCCGTAAACGAGGCTTCTTTGTACATTTTTTATTTGCCTTTGATCTTCCTCGCCTTCCCCGCCAACGAATCGGACGATGCGAAACGCTCGCAGACGCAAAAAGCAAAGCAAAATGCAGCATCCAACTCATTTGCAATTTCAAAGACGACGCGAATTGCCCGTTGTTTACAACTGCGAAAACTTTCCAGAGTCTGGCGCGTGACGTGGAACGATTGCACGACCTCAACTCAACGACGACTTCTTCGCCGGCTACTGACGAGACGACGGGCAGATGGAAAACGGCAGGCAGCGATTCGTCGCGTCGTTATCATCGTCAAGGCAGTCGATAAGTGACTCGCGGCTTTCGCGCTTATCGGCGCGCGGTAAGCGCAGCAGTCGTCGTCACTCGGCTGCAGACTGGCTGGCAGCCTATCGCTGAATTGTCAGATTGGGATTGCCGAGTGCGCGCGCGCGGGCTGAATTTTACTGATTGACACGAGCGCGGCGACGGAAGCGCTGTAATTTCATTTGCGCTGGCAATGAAGACCTGCTTTGTCATTTCGTCGCGTAGAACGGTGCAATTATGCTTGAGTGTAATTTTTATGACTCTTCTTTGCCTGTTAATTAAATAAACGATCGACCCCTCCACTCGTTGAACGTTGACTCATTGAGCAAGCCACTTCTCGACGGCAGTTATCGTCTCGCACACTTGTCGAGCTCCACGAAGAAGTTGGAAGCCGCTGAAAGTAATTTCGCAGTTTTGTACGTACATACATATTCAAGTATGGATACCGAAAAAAAAGTTGGCAGCCCAGCAAGAAAAGTTACTTGTACTCGCCAAGTTTGAGTCGTTAGCGCGAAGTAGCACTGGCAAAGAATTATACGGAAAGAAAACGTGTAATAAATTTATGAACAATTCGACACTGTCTCCTTTTAGCGAGGATTAAAAGTATTTAAAATTTAAAAATATTTAAAATTGAAGATCTTAGCTTGGCATTTGGACAAAAATTGGATTCGTCAAATCACTGGTCGATTCGAGCGATTCGTCATCGATCGCAGTGCTGGATTCGCGTTGGAATCCGAACCTCGCCGAGCTCGGCAAGTTAGCCGCTCGGGAGCTAAGTTATCTGCTTAACGCTGGCAGACAATTATCAGCTGGCCGTTAATCAATGAAGTCTCTCTTCCTCTCTCGTTTATCTGGCTGGGGCTCTCGCGACTGAGCGAGGGAGCGAGGGAGCGAGGGAGCGAGAGTGCGAGATAGGCACGGAATAGCTAAGGTTGGCGTGGGCGGCACGGTTCGGTTCCACCTGCTATCGCGCCTCGCTAATCGGCCTGCCATTCAAGCCATCTCCTGCCGAACGAGGTCGCTCGCTCGTTCCTTCTCTCCTTCTCTCCTTCGCTCTCTCTCTCCCTCTCTCTCTCTCTCTTCTATTTTGAATAATGACCTATCGATTTTTCGGCTTCTTCGTCGATCTCGCCGCCTATCTGTCTGTCTCTCTTTCCGCGGACGAACTCCACGTCGCGTTTTTAATATCGCTCAAGCGGAAGTCGCGGCAGAGAGATCGCGAGGTGGCTGTTTAACTTCTGTCACTCTCGGGTAAACTTCGCAAATCGAACTGTCTTGAATTCCCGAGCGTTTGACGGAAAAGAAGAAAAGAAAAGCGAAAGTTTGCTCGAGCTCGAGCGGCTCAAATCGACGATTCTCCGCTGGCTTTTGTGCCACTGTCGAAAGCCGTATCTCAAAGCTGGAAACGGTATTTCCTATCAAGCACTGTACTATTCGAGCCTATGGATATGTAACAATGACGACCGCAGCTATGAAAAGCTAACTTTCCTTTTTTGTCCTTTGTCGGTAGAAAGAGGGAGAAAGGACATTCGGGAGAAGTATGTGCGTATAAGAAATTGAATTGTTGACGACAGCCTGAAAGTACACGCGGGGATGATCGGGAAAAATTGATCCGCATGCTCTATTTATAACCACCGAAGCAACGATTTCGATTCTCGCGTGACTACGTCGAAGCTATCACATGCAAATTTATGTATCTGCCATTACTACGTGTACGAGTGTGCGCGCACTTTGCGGCCGCCCTATTACGTAACCCCACTGTTGTCGTTGTTGCTTTCGTCTTTCCGTTGTGCGACAACAAAACGTAGGGCAACCGAGTCGAAATGCGCTTGCCGGTTTGGCGGCGGTATCCATAACGCCACTTATTTTGTCGCAAGTGAAATGGCGTCAAACTGCGCTCGCTCGGTGAAAAAAATAATCTCGCGTCCGCGCGCGGGTGAGTGACATGCAAAGCGCTTTCGAAATGAGAGAAAAAAAAACGACGAAGAAGTGGAGAGAGTAAAGCCGCGGAAGCTTCTTTTTCGCAATGAAACAATGGCCCGAGCGAGGCGACAGCTTATCCAGCAGAGTGCGCCTCAACAATTCTCGCCCTCTCTCTCTCTCTCTCTCTCTCTCTCTCTCTCTCTCGCTAATGCCCGTGTTTACCGAGTTTCGAACTCAAACTCGGCCGCCGCCAAGCGTTGTCAGAAAACTACTAACGAATCTGCGTGACGATGACAAAAGGCACGGAAAGGAGATGCGCGGCTTTTTCGTCTCGTGTTTTTTCTTCTTATTTTACGGTCCTTTGTAAATCGAGAAGGCGCTTTTGTGCATAACCCCAGCCGTTCGTGCGTCCGCAAGGGCACTTTCGCGCCTGAATAAAGTGGCTATCGATTGAAAATCTTCTCTTCGGCTCTCTCGCGGTTTACACGAGCTGCAGATATTTTCCCTCTCAAGGGTCGCCCCGGCGCGCGGTGGAAAAGCCAACAGGGTGTAAGTAGCTTCATTGAATCGAGTGGTTTTCCAATGAGCTTTTTTTCTCGCTTGCCGCGCAGACGACGCGGTCGGTTACGGTTTGCTCGTTAATAATATTTTCGGAAAACCGCTTCGCCGTAGTAGTGCGCAACGACGAGCGATCGCGCACTGGCTGTGGAGTATGCGCGGATCATTAGCGTTTTCACCGAAATGTTGAGGGCAATCCAATTTTCTCCTGCGCGAGAGACTTCGCTTCAAAATGGTATTGTGGTGAAAGGACTCTTTGAATTACACTTTCTTGGTAAATCCTGGTCTTCGAGGGAGCCCGGCTAATATAATGTCTCTTTCATTTCACTTGTCGACTGCAATGCTCTGCATTCTTAGTTCAACATCCAGCTTTGAATTTTGCACGAGGATGAGATATTCTCATTCTGGTGCAACCATTTATTATTATATATAAAGAAAATCAACAAAGGAACAACTTTACGTTTAAAGAGCAGCCGTTAGTCATATAGAATCTTCATTATCCGCGTAATAAAGCTCGAGTTACTTATCCAGCAGGTACACCATCTTAATATTAGTATGCCGCGCTTGGCGAATTGGTATATACCGATAGAAGAAAGCTCAAAAGCAATCCACAGGCTGCGGACGTGATTGAGACGCTGCCCGTGTATATATACATACATACCAGCGGCGTCTTTTTCCGCAATCAAAGGCATTTCAGGCCGAGCAGATTGAGTTGCGAGAGGAGCGAAGGACACAAAAAAGGTCGGAATTCGATTCGACGCTACCCAACTAATAGCGAGGTATTGTTGGACCTAGCCAAGGAGGCGACGAGTCTCTACGAGTCTGCAAGCTGAATTAATTTCGATAGCACTGCTCTTCTTCTGCTATTCATGGCGCGTTCGAGCTTTCAATTTTTTAAGTTTCCTCGGTATGAATTGCGCAGGAAAGATTTCTCTTTGATGGGGAGGGGGAACTTTAGTCGATGAAATCTCGATCTGATATCGCTCACATTTTTCCGAGACTTAGTTTCTATTTTCATCATTTTCGTTAACTCACGTTTATCCCCGTAAAACAGTCGGCACTACTTCTCGAATAATGAATAATTACAACAGCGCCACAGCAGCAAATTTATTACGGACTATAACTTGAATATTCAATTAACAGATAGAGCTGGATCGTATTCTGGACAAAAAATGTATTCATTTACATGAGTTACACAGCTCCGCTTTATTTTTCGATTAATGCGAAAGCCATTCCACGCGACATTCCACGATAACTAAAAGTATTCCGCTTTAATTTTTAATGGAATTATTTCGGTAACGATGCGAAAATTATCACAATAACACGGGGATACTTTCCACAAGCGTTTCCAGAAGAGGAATTTTCATGATTCCAATTGAGATGCAGTCCAGTCCAAGGGGAACCCGATGAGCTCGGCGAATAACAGAAAAAGCAACAAAAGAGCTTGGGGAGAAAACCGGCAATCAAGCAAAGCAGCCTGAAGTGTGACTTCGCCTACTTAACTCGAGTGTTTTCATTTTGCAGCCTCGCTGCGCGAGAGGAGGCGAGGCGTTCGCCGGCTGTTTTTGCTCTCGCGAAGAACAAAAAGCGCACACGCACGCGCCCGGCGTACAGGTGAGCGCGTTCTCTTTTTCTTCCGCGCTTCGATCGCGGCGGCTGCGACAATGAAGCGCCTCCCGAACGTCCGAGATATATACGCGCGCGTCCCCGCAACTTTCGCATCAGATTGCTTTAAATCCACTTCGCTGGTATTCAGCTTTTAAGTCCGCGCTCGAAAACGCTCGGTAATTTGATTTGCCCGGCTATCTTTCGCACCTCTCGCCGTGTGATGGCTTTCTGTCGCGCGCGATTGCTGCACTTGACGCGCAATTTTGATGGCTCATTCCTCCTGCTATTACTGTAATTCTATTGCCTCCTTTTTTTAACCCATTTCATTTTTCCCTTGTGATCAATCTTCGACTTTTTCGATAACCAGTTCCATCTTGTCAATATACGCAACTGGGCAATCGAATCCATTTCGACAGTCGAATAGTCATAAAAATGAAAAAAAACTTGATCGATAATTCAAAGTGCAATGCATTGTCGTCGGGCGACAACGATATTTTGTATGATGATTTATCAATGACGGTAGGACAAACAGAAAACTAATTATTATAGAGATATGGAATATTTTTATTGGAATATAATATTTTTTTTCTATAAAATGGAAACTCGTTAAAATTTGTTAAAATTTGCTTTAAATGCTTCCTCATGTATGAAAGCTAATCAACAAATACTTTAAAAAGGTTATTTAATTCTTCTAAATATCGAATTGACATACGAAAGCAAGGCATTCTTTTCCTCGTAATATAAGAGCTAGTTGCGTGAGGTGTAAAAGAACGCACGGATGATGTGAGATTTTTAGTGGATCAAAAGAGCTTCGTTGTAAAGTCAACTTGCACACCCCAAACTGTCCATATTAGTGTTGATCAATTCCGTGCGTCGACTGTAAACCTCTTACTTTGCCCGCAAAGTCGAGTCCAAGCCTTATGTTTTTTGCTGTCGCGTGACGCGGCAAGTTATTTATCACTGGTTGCCGGCAACCGTTTCCCGGCGCTTATCACTTTTTATTATTTTCTCGGGGCTCCGCGCGAAACAGTGCACAATGAGGCAGCGAGAAAGCACACGCGGAAAAAAAAACGGCAAAGGCGGAAAAGCGCAAGCGAAAAGTCGCCGGCCATAGAGCAGGCGTCCGATCAATACGTGCACGACTGTCTCTCTCTCTCTCTCTCTCTCTCTTGCTCTCTCGCTGACGTGCTGAAATGACGTATATAACAACTTC